GGAAGCAGTAGTTACATGTGTTGTAGCAATCGCATACCTTAAGTACTGAATAAATATTTGTGGGATGTGAGATGATTGAATGAATGCTAACTAATTTGAAAGAGCAGTGTTCGTAATTAGCACCAAACTTGAATATGAAAGAATTGCTGTGTGGATGAAACAGGAATCAAATTGCAATCAAACCCAATCTAAAATGACTAGGAATGCAAAGCAATCACCTGCAAATAATCCGTGAAGAGACTAACATCCATCCATGTCATCCATGTCATCTGTAGCCATGACAGTGGAACAGGCAGGGCTCCGCACGTACCTGCCAAGCACTCCTCATTTCCACACAGACTTGTCCCCTCATCTTCACAGCAAGTGAAATCATTTTCCACGTACTCTTCCAAAGCACTTTGATCGAAAAGTGGGCAGTTTTCACAGAATTATCACAGCGGAAAGAGAAGATATGTTACAGTATGCATCTCTACTCCCAAATAAAAAGATTCCCAATGAAACTGTTAAAAATATACCTTGACAATAGGATACTAATCCACCTACCATTGTCTATGCCTATAATGTCATGATACACTTAATAGCAGAATGTTGAACTTGTGACAAGGACAATGTCATTGTGATAATATGGGAGAAAACAATGGGGAGGGGAAATAGAGAGAGAAGAATCCCTTTGCTTATGGAACCATATCATGAAAAAGAATAAGAAGAAAATGCATATGTTGAGAAAAACTATGCATGGATTTCAAAGGCTTTTTTTGCACTAAAATAACTTGTGGTTTAATTATTCCATTCTACCACCTGCTTTTTGAAGTACATATGCCAGTGAGTGAAAAGCCAATCCAGATCAGAACCACTAACTCCAGCTTCCAAAGCCAGCCTCCTTCCCTTCTAGGACCACGTGCTGAGTAGCTCTTGTAGATCAATCTCCAAGGCCACGAATCTGCCAATAGAACTGTGGGTTTCCAAGAACACACCGTAGCACAGTGTAGAAAACCACCTGAGGATATTTAAAACAACTTAGTCCATTCCTAGGATTAAAAAAAAAAAAAAGGAAGCAATTCAAATAAATTTAAAATTACTGATCCAAAGTAAGTTATTGCAAAATTGTTTATTACAGGAGAAAAAAAAAGAAAAAAAGAAGTCAATTTCTATCAAAAGAGAGATGATTAAATAAGTCCTAGTTCACCAAATTAGTGCTGTTATGCTATTTTATTACATAGTATGAAGAGTCAACTTTATAGTTCACGGGAAGGTATTATGTGGCTGCAACATTAGCCAGTTTGGACATGTAACTTTTTTTTTCAAGCTTGATTTATTTTTATGACAAAAGCAGATTTTACGGAGAGGAGGGACAGATGGAAGGATCTTCCATCCATTAGTTCATTCCCTAGATGGCCAGAGTGACTGGGGCTCACTTATCCAAAGCCAAGGAGCCTCTTCTAGGTCTCCCATGTGGGTGCAGGGTCCCAAGGACCAGAGCTGTCTTCTGCTATTTTCCTACACCCTAAGCAGAGAGCTAGTTGGGAAGTGGACCAGTCAGGACATGAACTGTTGCCCCTATGGAATGCCAGTGCTTGAATGTGGAGGATTAACCTGTCGATCTATGGCACCATCCCCTTGGAAATCTGTTAACATTAGTTGGAGGTCATCAAATACCCACATAAACTGCACTAGGTTGGCTCACCTGTTTTCAATCCATCCTTCCCACTGGCAGCCCATCATGTGTTTCTAACCTCAAACCCTGTCTTCACCCTGTTTTGAAAGTCGTGCCTGCTGTCTTATTTGTTTGCTATCACGCCCCAGAATTTATCTGGGCCTGGACTTCCAAGGGCATCAAAGGGAGCCATGTTAGGCTGGAGGGGGCAGGTATGGGAAGAGAATGGGATTTTAGGCCCCCAGTGTCTCTCAATGACATGGGGCCCTGATAGCTAAAGAGAAAAAAAGCAGCTCACTTCCCCCCTTGAGCTACTGAATCTAAAGAACAAAGGTTGAAGCTCCCTGAAATCAATCATTCCAAAGGTAGGTGGCCTTGTACGAGATAGACAGTAACCTTGGAAAACAGGAGAATGGCTGTTGTGCAAGGTGGCTGGGCCCAGGGTTGCATTGCCTCACCAAGCCTCCTTTTCAGTTTTGCCACCAGACGTCCAGCATGAGCCTGTGACCGTGGATCACCCGTGGATAGCCCTGATTCATCGAGACTGATGTCAAGCTCACTCTCCTAGAACAAAATATTTTACCTTGTCATCTGGCAAAGGGGATCGCGTTATAGCCATAGGTGCTGTGCAGGAAGCCTCCTACTCCCCTACACGCCCCCCCCCCCCCCCCCCCCCCCCCCCCCGATTCTCTACGTGAGCCTGGAGAGGTGTTCTTCAGCTCAGAGCAAAGATAACCCTGGATACCTTGATAGCCTATGCAAACAGCAGCAAAGGTCAAAGAGACACCATGGAACATGAAGGTCACCTTGGCGTGTGACAACACCCGCCTGTGTGGACTCAGAAAATTGGCTCGGGAGGCAATTGTTGCAAAGATTCATGCCTGTTGTCTTTTTAAAGATGTACTATTTTGCATCCCAGTAATGATGTAAACAAGATCGTATCACAGTTTGGATTCTCTCCCATAGGCAATAGAACATCCATTCTAGCACATTGATTCCATCTCACTCTCCCTTTTGTGTCTAATGGCATGGCATTTGCAAAACTGCTAGTGAATGGCTCAGAATCTCACACATGCTTGATACTTCCCGGTTTCCACACATCCAAGGCAGCGGCAGCCCTCAGGAGAGGTATCCATCACTATGCCTTCTATGGGTCAAAAGCACAAAGGCTCCCAAGGGATAAAAACACTCCACAATAAATCAAAAAATGTCCCCCAAACCCTACCTTGAATCCCAGGTCTGCATGATTGCTTTTGTTTTAAATCAGAAGGAAAATAAAAGAAAGTTCTTATTGAAACCATTTGAACAGAACCCTCAGAACATGTTCCGCCTCGGGGACCGTGGGATGACATTGGGTGGCCACTCCCCATCCCTGGGTGCTGGGGTGGTTGGGAGGCTGAGTATGGTTTCTCCCTTTGTCTTCCCCTTCCCCCAGATACAGGGAGAATATGAGGAGGGTGTGAAAATAGTGGTCTCACATGTTTTCCCCTAGTCCTCAACCCTTCCCACTCTGATCAACTGTGTAAACATCATCAAAACCAAAATTTTAAATAATAATAATAAAAATAAAACAAAAAAGTTCTTAGGACTTCCCACTGGAATTCTAACTCCAGAAAAATCCCAGAATGAGTTACTGAGACCATTGGAAGGCACAGTCAGCCTGAGGATTTCCTATCACTCTTTTCTGCCATTGTACTCTCTGGTTGGAGGAAGGGAGAGGCCCCAGCCAGAGCATTTTTCTGTTGATCTCAGGCAATATGTGGGTGCTCATGGATTCCAGAACCTTCCAGGGAAAAAAAAGCATGTAAGGACAGATGGATAAAGATAAGGTCTCCAGGAAAAGCCTGCAGGGAAGGAGCTTTTCTTGCAGAAGGCGGGCGGCACGTTTTTAGGATCCTCATCGCCAGTCAGTGCCCACTTGCCCCACCGAAGTAGGGTTCATGGGGTGGTTTTTGGTGTCCAAAAGCTCTCGCAGGTATGAAGTCATTGCGTTGCTTTTCATCTATGGAAAGGCCCTTTCAGATGGTGCATTCTGATGGAGAAAGTTTCCAGGGTGAACCAAAGGAAATCTGGGAAATAAAGCTTGAAGCAAACCCTGATGGCTCAGGATAATTAGGGCTTGGGCATGTATTGCAGAACTACTCAAAAAGAGGAGAGATTGAGAGATCTGGGGGCAAAAGACAAGCAAGTTCAATGCCAGGGAAGGGCGAGCATGTTACAAAGCCATGATTGCCTGCCACCGAGAAGTGACATTGGCCTAGAACTTGTTCATGGGAGTCCTGTTTTGCCTAGCGCTGTAACTACTGACTCTGTTATTATTTAATGCCGTTACTTCATGCAGCTTTCTCATATGGGTCTCTTTCTGACTTTTCCCAATAAGGAACTGCGTGTGGGCAAGTTTCAGGGTCACATATTTCTGTTTCTTGGGGTGGAGCAAGCCAAGCCTTGAGTAAGTACTGAGCAAGTGCTAGTTAAATAGACTGGAAACTGATTAAGACGTTGTGTTTTAGGCTAGTGGGAATGCAGGCACTGGGAAGAGTCATAACGTGCATGCATTGGCACTACCTCCTATGTGCCCTCGTCCATGCGATCTGTTTCATGTGTATATGAGCTCCAAATCTGACAACAACCTAACAAAGGATGCTAGTATCACTAACCTCATTCTGCAGCTGAAAATGCCAAGAGACTTCAGAGCAGTGTGTGTTTTGCGTAAGGCCACACAGTAAGTACTTGTGCTTCAAGTCCAATTGTGCTGACCTTAAATTCCCATTTTGGGGCCGTGCCTGCCACCCTTCTCAAATCATTGTTAATAAGGTTTGTATGGCATTTTCTTGGAGCCCAGCACTGCTCTGAACTGTTTCAATGTGTTAATTTACACAACCCTCACAGCCATCCCAAGGAGGTGTGGGCTCTATTATCCATTTACTGCATCTGGAGCCTGCATTATCTTGGGCTTTGGGGTGAGGATCAGAGAGATTCTGCAGAACAGTGAAACATCACTGCTCTATGTCCTTTCACGTGGAAGAGGAAATCCTCTAATCCATCTGGTATCTTGCTGCACCCTGCCCCAGGAGAGCTCAGGAAGGCAGCCAGCAGAGAAGTCCATGTCCGGCCTAGGGCCTTATGTCAGCCGCACAGCAGTTGACTTGGAGAAATCTGACTTTGGAAGAGAGGAGGAGGGGAACTCAGACAGCACCCTTTGCAGTTAACAGGGTTCCTGGGCAGCTTGCCCTTGCATCACCTTCTGCTCCATTAATTTTGTCCAAAAAAAGATCTTCTACCTGCTACATTCCAACCTTTGTAAGGACCATACAGGCTCATAACATATATATTTTTTTCTTATTAGGCTCATGCAAAAGTTTGGCACAACTACAACAAGCATTTCCGCCCACATCAGAAGGGTTGGTTATCCATCACATTGGGATCCCACTGGATTGAGCCCAACAGATCAGAAAACGTCATGGATATTCTGAAGTGCCAGCAATCCATGGTCTCTGTGCTAGGATGGTTTGCCAGCCCGATCCATGGGAACGGTGACTACCCAGAGATCATGAAAAGAAAGTTGCAGTCCGTTCTACCTGTATTTTCAGAAGCAGAGAAGAACGAGGTGAGAAGCACGGCAGATTTCTTTGCCTTTTCCTTTGGGCCCAACAACTTCAAGCCCTTAAACACCATGGCTAAAATGGGGCAGAATGTGTCACTCAACTTAAGACAAGTGCTGAACTGGATTAAACTGGAATACGGCAACCCTCGGATCTTGATCACCGAGAATGGCTGGTTCACGGACAGTTATGTGAAGACAGAAGACACTACAGCTATGTACATGATGAAGAATTTCCTCAACCAGGTTCTTCAAGGTTGGTGGCACTTTAGCTTAAGGTTTTTGACATTTTGAACATTTGTCTTATAGGATACTTAAAGTCTTCTTATTCATAGATGAATATCGTTGCTCGGTCTTGTTGGCAATTCTTGATAGAAAGAACATTTTAATGTTACTTTTATGTATTTTGTAAAATGAAGATTTCAATTAGGGCCCGGCACAATGGTTCAACGATTAAATCTCTACCCTTCAAGTGCCAGGATCCAATATGGACTCCCATTCATGTACTGGCTGCTCCACTTCCCATCCAGCTCCCTGCTTTTGACCTGGGAGAGAAGTGGAGGATGGCCCAAAGCCTTCGGACCCTCCACCCACATAGGAGACCCGAAAGAAACTCTTGGCTCCAGATCAGCTTAGCTCCAGGCTTTGCAGACATTTGGGGAGTGAACTCATAGATGAAAAATCTTTTCTTTCTGTATCTCCTTCTCTCTGTAGGTCTGCCTTTCCAAAAAAATATAAAACAATCTTTAAAAAAAATAAACACTGGAGAACAAAATATTTTAGGCTATATATAGGTGATCCTTATTTGGCAAACAGATGCTATTTCTTTTTATATGAAAAACACAGTACTGACAAGAGTTTTTCTCTTTAAAGATTTATTTGTTTTTATTGGAAAGTCAGATCTACAGACAGAAGAAAAGATAGAGAGCTAGATTGTCCATCCACTGATTCACTTCCCAAGTGGCTGGAACAGCTGGAGCTGAATCAGTCTGAAGCCAGTAATCAGAAGCTTCTTCTTGGTCTCCCATGTGGGTGTAGGGTCCCAAGGCAGCTATCCTTGACTGCTTTCTCAGGCCACAAGCAGGGAGCTGGATAGGTGTGGATCAGCTGGGATGCGAACTGGCACCCATATGGGATCCCAGTGCATGTGCACGGCAAGGATTTTAGTCACTAGGATTTTTTTTTTTAAAGATTTATTTTTATTATTTTTTCATTGGAAAGGCGGATATACAGAGAAGAGAGACAGAGAGGAAGATCTTCCGTCCGATGATTCACTCCCCAAGTGAGCGCAACGGGCCGATGCTATGCCGATCCGAAGCCAGGAGCCTCTTCCGGGTCTCCCACGCGGGTGCAGGTTCCCAAAGCTTTGGGCCGTCCTCGACTGCCTTCCCAGGCCACAGGCAGGGAGCTGGAAGGGAAGCGGGGCTGCCGGGATTAGAACCGGCGGCCATATGGGATCCCGGGCGTGCAAGGCGAGGACCTTTAACCACTTGCGCCACCGCGCCGGGCCCAGTCACTAGGATTTTTAAAAATATTTTCTATTTATTTTTGTTGGAAAGTCAGATGTGCAGAGAGGAAGAGAGACAGAGAGGAAGATTTTCCGTCTGATGATTCACTTCCCAAGTGGTCACAACAGCCGGAGCTGAACCAATCTGAAGCCAGAAGCCTCTCTGGGTCTCTCACATGGGTGCAGGGTCCCAAGGTCTCGGGCCATCCTCCACTGCTTTCCCATGTCACAAGCAGGGAGCTGGATGGGAAGTGGGACAACCAGGACACAACCTGGTACCTATATGGGATGCTGGTGGCAAATATATGGATGGAGTATTAACCTGTTGAGCTTTGCACCGGCCCTTGATCTTCATATTCAACTACGAGCATTTTAGCCTAGGGATAGTCTTTAGAGGGCCTGCTTTCCAATCCTTTCTGTTAATGAGGAAACTGAGGCGAAGAAACCTGCAAGACTCTGTGCCCCTGGTTCTTTAAGCCAGGCATTCCTCATTCTCTTGCATCCCTTTGCATCATTTGCCTCCTTGCACCCATATTCACTCATGTTAACGTGTGTGTGTGTGTGAGAGTGTAGGATCATTTCCCAGAATAGATACTTTGTCCAAAAACTGGATTCAATCCAAACTTGAAATGAGAACTTTTTGGTCTGGAGCAGACAACTGTATGGGTCCCAAAGGATTCGGAAAAATAGCGTGCCCTGTGACACCAATTTGCCTACTAGGTCTCTGGGACATATACTTATTTGATCCTTTCACTGTGGCAATCACTTCTTGGGAGCAGAGTTGAGTTGGTGGGGTGAGGGGGGGAGGACATGTATTATTCTGGTTGAAAAGAATTGCATTCTTCTTTTTGATGTAGTACATAGGCCACCCAATTAAGGAAAACAAGTTGGTTTTGCAATATGCAGTCCCCCTGGCCTGAGCTGGCGCTGGGGCCTCTGAGCATGTCTGTTTCCTTTCTCTGCACAGCAATCAGGCTAGATGACATCCCCGTGTTTGGCTATACAGCCTGGTCTCTCCTGGATGGCTTTGAGTGGCAGGACGCTTACAACAGCCGCCGCGGCCTGTTCTATGTGGATTTCCACAGTGAAGAAAAAGAAAGAAAACCCAAGTCCTCAGCCCACTACTACAAACAGATCATTCAAGAAAATGGGTTCACTTTCAAAGAGTCCACCCCCGACATGCAGGGTCAGTTCCCCTGTGACTTCTCCTGGGGCATCACGGAGGCAGTTCTGAAGGTAAGTGGCTGCTTCCAAGATCAGCCCTCAGTGGAGCAAAGTGCACATGGTGTTTTAATTTCATTTCTCTTAGTGAAGGTGAAGTGAGGGTCAGCAGGCAATATCACAGGCCATGGTTATCCTGAGGAAGAAGGATGGGGGTGGTGGGTTATGAATACTTGCTGGTAGCCCCGGGGTAGGGCGGCAGCCCTCATCCGTGGTGACACAGAAGAAGCGGAGACAAAGAGACAGAGCTCAAGGAGCAAGGTCTAGAAGATCTATCAGCCATTACTGTGAGGCATTTGTGCATGGTGCCAGCATCCTAGGGAAAAAAAAAACCTGGCTTATGGTTTTTGTTTTTGCCAATAGCAATTTTTTCAAAAAAAGATTTATTTGAAAGAATTACACAAGGACAGGGAGAAGGAGGGGGAGGGAGAGAGAGATCGCTCCATCCACTGGGTTATTCCCTAAGTAGCGCATCCAGGAGCCAACAGCTCGTCCAGGCTCTGCCATGTGGACATAGGATGCACAGTCCTTCGCATCTTCCACTGCTTTCCCAGGTGTATTAGCAGGGAACTGGATCGGAAGTGGAGGATCTGGACTTGAATCAGTGCCCATATGGGATTCCAGTGCCACAGACAGTGGGTTTACCTGCTATGCCACAGCACGTGCCCCTGCAATTACAATTCTTTTTTTAAGATTTTTTTTTTTATTGGAAAGTCAGACATACAGAGAGGAGGAGAGACAGAGAGGAAGATACTCCAGTGATTCACTCCCCAAGTGAGCGCAACGGCCAATGCTATGCCAATCTGAAGCCAGGATCCAGGAACTTCTAGGTATCCCACACGGGTGCAGGGTACCAAAGTTTTGAGTGTCCTCGACTGCTTTCCCAGGCCACAAGCTGGGAGCTGGATGGGAAGTGGAGCTGCCGGGATTAGAACCGGCGTCCATATGGGATCCCAGAGTGTTCAAGGTGAGGACTTTAGCCGCTAGGCCACTGCGCTGGGCCCTACAATTTTTTCACAACCTTTAAGTGCCTGGTAGACTCAGGTAATTTGCTTTTAGGCTGGTATGTTCCACTAGTGGCAGTCCTGGTATGGCTGGTATGACCCATTAGTGGCAGTCCTTCGGCTACCAGATGGACAAATGATGTCTCCAGAAAAACAATTGCCTTAAGGTTCCTATGTGAACCCTGCTACTGGAATGCAGGTGCATTCATTCCCCTTCCACATAAAAGTCCCATCTGATGGTTAAGGAAACTAAGTTAGGGAGGTATGGGAGGCTACATGATTTTCCCAGGGGAGCTGGGTCAGTCTCTGGATCACCGTCCTGTGGGAGTTGACATCATCACTGTCGCCTAAGCTGGAAGCTTACAGAAAGACAAATGGCCGGAGCATGGATGGGGCCAGACAAAACAGTCCAAACCATGAGCTTGTCAAGTTCACTGGTTGGAATTCTCAACATCTGTGGATATGTAAGCAAGATTTTAGGAAGGGTGCCAGGGGAAAGGAAGGCAGACGGAGTGGCATGAGCCCAGGGACTCAGATCCAGCACGGGCCCCTCCAGAGTCACCCAGTTCCAACTGCCACCTCCAAGAGGCCGAGACAAGCATCTCTTCCCTACTATTTCTAATGGGTGAGCCAAAAAGCTTTTTCCCGGTGTCCGATGTGAGTGGCAGGGACCTGCCAACTGCTTGAGCTATCTTTCACTGCTTTCTCAGATGCATTAGCAGAGAGCCAGATCAGATGTGGAGCAGCCAGGATACCAACTGGTACCCATATGGAATGCTGCCATTGTAGGAGGTGATTAAACTTACTATGCCACAATGTGGCCCTGTATATTTTTCAAAAATTCAGACTTAACAAGGAGACATGAAAGTTCTTTCTCCCATCTTTATGGGAGAAACCTGCATGTTCAGGTTTCCGTGAGGACGCCAGGTTCTGGGGTGACTAGCTGTCCCAATCACTGATACCTTGAGAAGGGAAGCGCTGTGGCCAAACATGTCTGGGTTTATATACTGATCCTGGTGTCCAGGAGGTGTCAGCACCTTTGAATGAACCAGACTGCCAAGCAAAAGCAGGGTGGATTATGCCAAATCCACCAAAGGGAGTATGACTAGTATGTGTAGGCAGAAAACTAGTTGCCCTCTTTAGGGAGATGAGTAAAATGAAAATCACCTTTCAGAAATATTACCATGCCTGTCCCCCACCTAATACCTTTCTTATTTTCCTCAGTCCCGTTAGCATTCATTGCTTCCCCAACACTTCCTTTCTTTTTAAAGATTTCTTTTTATTGGAAAGTCAGATTTACAGAGAAGGAGAAGCAGAAAGATCCTTCATCCATTGATTGTCTCGTTATCTGGAGCCTCCTTCAGTTCAGTACAATGCTCTGTACCCTTGGCACTGCTTTAATTAGAAGAGTCCAGGCCAGTGAACTGTAAAACACTTCATTGTTCTGCAGTGCTCTGTTGGTTTCTTTATTAGATTCCCTGGCCATTTCTGGAAAGGATATGACATCAGCGAAACGTGCATTTTTCTGTGCATGACATCAGGAGGTGCATGAGGTCATTTATCTCATTACTAAAGATGTGAACGTTGCCCAAGCAGTATCATCAAATTCCATGGCAGTGGTGGCATTTGCATGATCTCTTAAGCATTTCCATTTTTTCCTACCATTTCCATTTTTATTTGAGAAGCTGCTGATACTTGGAAACCATTATATACAACATGTTGCCCAACATTTCACTCAATGGTTCTAACATTCCTTCATGATCCTTGCTTTGAAATTAAAGATCACAAGGTGAAGACATTTCTATTTGCAGTATTCCTTTTATGTTTAGTGGGCAAATTCTTTCTTTTTTTTTTTTCAAGATTTATTTATTTTTTGGAAAGTCAGATATACAGAGGAGGAGAGATAGAAAGATCTTCCATCCGATGATTAACTCCCCAAGTGAGCGCAACGGCCGATCCAAAGCCAGGATCCAGGAACTTCTTCCAGGTCTCCCACATGGGTGCAGGGTCCCAAGGCTTTGGGCCGTCCTCAACTGCTTTCCCAGGCCATTAGCAGGGAGCTGGATGGGAAGTGGAGCTGCCAGGATTAGAACCGGCACCCATATGGAATCCTGGCACATTCAAGGGGAGGACTTTAGCTGTTAGGCCACGCTGCCGAGACCATAGTGGGCAAATTCTTTCAAGCTGTTTTCTAATTCATTATTTCCATTGTGATGTCACTCCTTTTGATCCTCAAACTGTTTCCTAGTTAGTCAGTGGGTCTCCTTTAAGCTGCTCCAATGTCTTTTTGACATTCACCTCCTTATTTAATGGCACTAGAGGCCCCAACATCAAAAATAGGCAGGTGTTCAACACCGTGGTTAGGATGCCACTTGAGACACCTACTTCTCTTATCAGAAACTTTGGGCTTGATTCCTGGCTCCACTCAACTGCTGGCTTCAGGCCAGCCTGGTGCAGGCCTTTTCTGCCTGCAGAGGGACTGGCAGTGTGGTAGAGCAGGGTTGAACTGCTGTCTGCAACACCAGCATGCCATATGGGCACAGGTTTGAGTGCTGGCTGTTCCATTTCCCATCCAGCTTCCTCTTAATGCACCTGAGAAAGCAGCAGCAGACGGTCCAAGGCCTTGTGCCCCTGCATCCATGCTGGCAACCTGGAACAAGCTCTTGACTCCCAATACCTGTTTAGCTCATCCCTGGTCACTGCGTCATCTGAAAGTGACCAGGCAGATGGAAGCCTTCTCTATCTCTCCTTCTCTCTTTATAACTCTGCCTTTCAAACAAATAAATTTTAAAATAGCTTTCTATACCAAGAGAAAACCTAATTAAGGAAAAACTACCTCTTCTCTTCATAAGAGAAAAAAAATTTGTCCACCCACCTTCCTCCATACCTCAATCCTCCCCACCCTTATTGGAGCACCACATAGGCGTGCATCTCTCTCAACTATGAAAAAATGTTTAAAATAAAATTAAAAAAATAAATTAAAGGGCCCGGCGGCGTGGCGCAAGTGGTTAAAGGTCCTCGCCTTGCACGCCCGGGATCCCATATGGGCGCCGGTTCTAATCCCGGCAGCCCCGCTTCCCTTCCAGCTCCCTGCCTGTGGTCCAGGAAAGTAGTCGAGGACGGCCCAAAGCTTTGGGACCCTGCACCCACGTGGGAGACCCGGAAGAGGCTCCTGGCTTCGGATCGGCATAGCATTGGCCGTTGCGCTCACTTGGGGAGTGAATCTTCAGACGGAAGATCTTCCTCTCTGTCTCTCCTCTCTGTATATCCGCCTTTCCAATAAAAAAAATAATAAAAATAAATCTTAAAAAAAATAAATTAATTAAAGTCTTGGTGCAATTGCTCAATTGGCTAATCCTCGCCTTGCATATGCTGGGATCCCATATGAGTGCTTGTTCATGTCCCAGATGCTCTATTTCCCATTCAGCTCCCTGCTTGTGGCTTGGGAAAGCAGCAGAGGACGTGTGAAAGACTTTAAGCCCTGTACCCATGTGGAAGACCCACAAGAAATTCCTGGCTTCTGGCTTCGGATCAGCTCAGTTCCGGCTGTCGTGGCAATTTGGGGTGTGAACCAGCAGATGGAAAACATTTCTGTCTTTTTTCTGTAAATCTGCCTTTCTTTTTCTTCTTCTTCTTCTTTTTAAATTTAATTTAATTTTACTTTTTAAATATCATTTTATGACATAGTTTCGTAGGCTCTGGGATTCCCACAGGCCTTCCCCAAACCCTCCCCCCATATTGAATTCCTCCATATTGTTACAGTAGTACAGTTCATATCCAGTCATGATTCCTTCATTGCGGGCATGGACCATGTGGAGAGTCCAGCATCTTATTGTCCAGACAAATTCAACAGTTTCATTGGGAGACCATCCTTGGTCTGAAAGTAGACCTGGCAGAATATCATCCCCTCCAATGAAAAGTCACTTTTCAACAACAGGAAGAAACATGTGAATTAACAATATCATGAAGTTAATTCACATGGTATTGAGTGACCAATATGTTAGAAAATGCAAGTACTTAACCACATCCTGTAACTTCTTCCTTGGCATCTTAATTTTAGTATATGCACAATCAGCTGTTGTAAAGTTTTTTTCTCCCAAGCTAACATGTTTTTTAGTTTAACCTAAATCACAGTGGCACAGGAACAGTGAAAGATCAACATTAACATCCATCATATATATTTAATAGCTGAGTACAAACTTAACATCAAAGTTTCTATGCAGTTACATCTTGTTTAGCATTAACAATCATAAACTGATAAGGTTTTTTGGGGGAGAATCTTAAGCCACAATTTAAACTTTGCAGTATATAGTTATTAAGCATGGTTTTATAGAACTTTGCATTTTAACAATTGAAGAATAGAAAAGTTTTAGGCAGGCGAGCAAGGAAATCTCCAAAAACCTAGTGAGTGAAGAAGAATTTAACTCTACATCCTACCCAGTAAAGTCCAGGAGAAGCAAATACGGAGCCTGACCAGTAAGTATAGGTTGAGCTTAAATCTGCCTTTCAAAGAAAAATAAATAAATCTCCTAAAATACTAAATTAAATTTAAAAAGAAGAAAACTAAAGGGGCTGTCGCCATTGCTCAAAAGGTTAATCCTCCACCTTCAAGTGCCAGGAACCCATATGGGTGCCAATTTGTGTCCCAGCTGCTCCACTTCCCATCCAGCTCCCTGCTTAAGGCCTGGGAAAGCAGTACAGAATGACTCAAGTCCTTGGGACCCTGTACCCACAAGGGAGACCCAGAAGAAGCTTCTAGCTCCTGGCTTCAGATCAGTTCAGCTCTGGAAGTTGCAGACATTGGGGGAATAAACCAGTGGATGATCTTTCTCTGTCTCTTCCTTCTCTCTGTAAATCTGCCTTTCAAATTAAATCTTTTTTTAAAGAAAAAAAATTATGTAAGGGTTTAAAACAAAAAATACTGTCCCAGAATCGCTTCCTTTCTTTCCATGTCCCAGACTTGGAAAAAATCATTTCTCCAAGAATAACATAGGGTTCTTGTGGTGGGAAGCAGTCACTTCCCATCCAGCTCCCTGCTCCTGGCCTAGGAAAAGCAGGAGAAGATGGTCAGGTGTTCGGTCCCCTGACGCCCACGTGGGAGACTGGACGAAGCTTCTAACTTCAGCCTGGCCCATGCAACCATCTGCAAGGAAATGAGTGTATGGAAGTCTTCTCTCTGTAGTTCTGATTTTTCAAATGTATAGTTACTTCTTCTAGAAGAAAAGAAAAACATTCTGGGGGCTAGAGTTGGGTTTGAAATCTACCAATTTAAACTAGATGTTTTACATATCCACACCCATGTTCTATCTAAGAGGAATGCTGTGTGAAGTTTTTGTTTGTTTTAAAGTAAAATTTTCATTTGCTCTTGTCTGTTTCATGCAAGACTGACTTTAGTGAGCACCCCTCAACACCTGGATGCTCTGAGCCTTCAGAACATTGAAACTGCTTGTCCAGGCTAGGAGGATTTTGCTCAGTTAACTACCTTCCAGCTGGCTGGCAGATGGCAAGTGGGTAGTGATATGGTTTTGTAATTAGACTATGAAAGATGACACATAGGAAAGCAATTAGAGGGAAAAATATTTACCAAAGGTTAATTTTTTTTCTTGGTACATTTGAATTAAGCTCTGAGGAGAAAATGTGCTTTAAAAACAAGCATGAGGCCTGATGTGGTAGCCTAGTGGCTAAAGTCCTCGCCTTGCAGGCACCAGGATTCCATATGGGCACTGGTTCGTATCCCAGCTGTCCCACTTCCCTTCCAGCTCCCTGTTTGTGGCCTGGGAAAGCAGTTGAGGATGACTCAAAGCCTCGGGGTCCTGCACCCGCATGGGAGACCCAGAAGAGGCTCCTGGCTCCTGGCTTTGGATTGGCTCAGCCCAGCTGTTCCAGCCACATGGTAGGAAGTGAACCAGCAGATGGAAGATCTTTGTCTCTCCTCCTCTCTGTAGATTGCCTTTCCAATAGAAATAAATAAATCTTAAAAAAAGAGAAAAAGAGCATGGAACCGTTCCCTTCCTTATTAATCTTGAATTTGGAAATGTTTTCTCTTCAAGTCTCCATGTTAGTGTAGATTCAAGAGCCTGGCAGGCATGGCAACCAGGAAATATGGGGCTCAAGTCAGAGCACTTCATATTTGTATCAACTTACTTCTTTTTTCTTTTCTTTTTTTTTCTTTCTTTCCTTCCTTTTTCTTTTTTTCCAGTCTCAACTCTTACAGATTTATTTACTTTTATTGGAAAGTCAGATTTACAGAGAAGGAAAGAGAGGAAAGGTCTTCAATCCATTGGTTCACTCCACAAGTGGCTGTAATAGCTGGAGCTGAGCTGATCTGAAGTCAGGAGCCAGGGGCTTCTTTCATTTCTCCCATGCTGGTGCAGGGTCCCAAGGCTTTGGGGCATCCTGTATTGCTCTCCCAGGCCACAAGCAGGGTGCTCTATGGAAGTGGAGTAGCTGGGACGTGAACCAGCACCTATATGGGATCCTGGTGCCTGCAAGGCAAGGACTTTATCCTTCAGGCTACCACACCTGGCCCTATATGAGTGCTTTTGAGACATACAGCACTAACCCAGGCCCAGCGTCCTCACCTTACACCTGTAAGGTAGCCAAACTGGTTCCATCATGACCCAGTTTCCATTCTTTCTCCTTAGTGGCTCCAGCATTCAGCCTGGGGAATATCTGGGGCTACTAGAGTGTTCTTTCCACTTCTGTCCCTGGTCCTTGCATGGACACAGTGTTCAGGATGCCACTGGATGGATATGTTCTGCCTGGTGCACAAATTGCTGGGGGTGGTGTTGGTGTGAGGGAGTAATCACATCAGATGCAACTGCAGTACAACTGGGGCTTCCCAAACAGGAGCGGGAGAAGTGCATTCCCAGTGGTGAGGGGTCACTGCCTATGCAGTACCACCAGCCTCTTTCAGAAATTGGAACTGGGCTCAAGCAGCCTCCTCCAAGCCCAGGTCCCCATCTCAGTCCTCCTCAGCTGGTATTTTTCACACTCCCTCAATTTGATGGCAGGATTTAGAATACACCTGTGGTAACTGCTTTCAATGGACAGCACCGGGACAACTTTCTGGTGTAACTGAGCAGGGGCAGGTGAGACCCCTGTGGGAGCAGAAGGGTTTGCATCTCCAGCCAACTTCAAGATGAAGATAGCCTCTGTGGGTGTTTTCCAAGCCAAGCCCTGGGTGTGGTTCCTTCCCTGTGGTTTCTGGTCTCCCTGGGAGATCCCTCGCAGGGAGGGAGGCCAATGGCCCAGGCATTTGCCGGGACATCAACAGGACAGCTGGAGAAGCTGCGGGGCTGTTATGAAGGATATCCGCCTCATTTCCTCTCACACTCGTCAGCTGGGAGCCCCTCGCAGCCGGTGTAATCATGCTTGACCTGTCCCCTCTTGTATCCCTTCCACAGCCTGAGTCGGTGGCTTCCTCCCCGCAGTTCAGCGATCCTCACCTGTACGTGTGGAACGCCACCGGCAACCGGCTGCTGCACCGCGTGGAAGGGGTGAAGCTGAAAACACGGCCGGCTCAGTGCACTGACTTCGTCTCCATCAAGAAACAGCTCGAGATGCTGGCCAGAATGAAAGTCACTCACTACCGCTTTGCTCTTGACTGGGCCTCGGTGCTCCCCACGGGCAACCTGTCCGAGGCGAACCGACAAGCCCTGCGCTACTACAGATGTGTGGTCACCGAGGGGCTCAAGCTCAACATCTCCGCCATGGTCACGCTGTACTACCCGACCCATGCCCACCTGGGTCTGCCGGCGCCTCTGCAGCACCGAGGGGGCTGGCTGCACCCGTCCACGGCCCAGGCTTTCCGGGACTACGCGGGGCTATGCTTTCAGGAACTGGGGGACCTGGTGAAACTCTGGATCACCATCAACGAGCCCAACCGGCTGAGCGACATCTACAACCGCACCAGTAACGACACCTACCAGGCTGCCCACCACCTGCTGATCGCGCACGTGCTCGCGTGGCACCTGTACGACCGCCAGTACCGGCCGTCGCAGCGCGGGGCGCTGTCCCTGTCCCTGCACTCGGACTGGGCCGAGCCGGCTAACCCCTACAGTGCCTCGCACCGGCTGGCGGCTGAGCGCTTCTTGCAGTTCGAGATCGGGTGGTTCGCCGAGCCGCTCTTCAAGACGGGTGACTACCCGGCGGCCATGAGGGAGTACCTTGCGGCCAAGAACCAGCTGGGACTCTCCAGCTCGGCGCTGCCCCGCTTCAGCGACGCCGAGCAGCGACTGGTCCGCGGCGCCGCCGACTTTTATGCCCTCAACCACTTCACCACCAGGTTCGTGATGCACGAACAGCAGAGCGGCAGCCGCTACGACTCGGACAGGGACGTGCAGTTCCTGCAGGACATCACCCGCCTGGCCTCGCCCAGTCGCCTGGCCGTCATGCCATGGGGCCAGCGCAAGCTGCTCCGCTGGATCCGCAGCAACTACGGAGACCTGGACGTGTACATCACAGCCAACGGTATTGACGACCAGGCTCTGCAGAACGACCAGCTCCGCCAGTACTACCTGGAGAAGCACGTTCAGGAGGCTCTGAAAGGTGGGTGAGCCGGAGTGGGGTATGGTCCCCTGGGCTGATCCCACAAAAGCTGGGAGGGAAGAGGTTCTATAGGAATGGGCTCAGATGAGTGGCTCCCAAGGGCTATCAATCAGATCTCATCCTGACAACTACCCTTCCCATTGCATTTCTGAAACAACTATTTTACTAGCTTCACACCTCAAGCACTGTCAAATCTTTTACGATCAACTCCTTCCAGTGTGTGTTTACTATGTGTTTGTAAATACAATTAGGGATCATGGTATCACAGTTTTTCTTAAAAACCATTCGAGAGCACAGACCTAGCAAGCTCCAATCTGTTGGCTCATTCCTCAGATGAGCCTGGCAGCTGGCTCCAAACCAGGAGCTGGGAACCCAACCCGGGTCTCCCAGGTGGGTGTCAGAGGCCGTCACGGAGCCGTGGCCACTGCCACCTAAAGTAGGAAGGTGGCACAGCAACCTGTGGTGGACACAGCAACTCCAACAGCAGGCTTGCTGGCCTTCACCACTTGGTCAAATTTGCACCCTGTCTTCCAACTTATGTATTTAAAAAAAAAAAAATTTATTTATTTTCATTGAAAAGTCAGCTAGATATACACAGATGAGGAAAGGCAGAGAGGAAGATCTCCCCTCCGTTTATTTACTCCCCAAGTGGCCTCAGTGGCCGGTGCTGAACCAATCCAAAGCCAGGAGAAGGATCCTTATTTTGGTATCCCACATGATTTCAGGGTCCCAAGGCTTTGGGCCGTCCTCCACTGCTTTCCCAGGCCACAAGCAGGGAGCTGAATGGGAAGCGGGGACACAGGGATTTGAACTGGCATCCATATGGGATCCCGGCACGTGCTAGGCAGACTTTAGCTACCAGACTACCGTACCTGTATTATTACTATTATTTAACTAAAGTATGTTTGTATAGAAATCTTTCATTTCTGAATTCTTTACGATAGACTGCCAGTGTGTTATTGGGTCCAACGTTACAAACTGCAACCTATCATTTCAACATTCTACCCAGTATTTTTTTTCTAAAATTTATTTTTTCTGAATTTTAAATGTTGATGCTAGAACCAGGAATTTCTTCACTTATTTGACAAATATTTACCTACTTAAAGATTTATTTGAAAGAGTTAGAATATTCCATCCACCGGCTCACTGCCCAAACAGCCACAAAGGCCAGGGCTGGGCCAGGTCAAAGCCAGGAGCTAGTAACCAACCTTGGCAAAAACCGATCTACTCATGGGACCACTTCTGGACAAAATTAAGGTTGCTGTCTTCACAAACATGATTTTCGTAACACAAAAATGAACAAATAAGGTACGCACCAGAGGTAAAAAGTTCTATAAAGACAAACAAAACAGGGGGAAAGTGTGTTTGTGGGGGTGGGGATGATACAGGGGTTACAACTCTAAACTGGGGAGATGTGGAGGTGCCAAAAGGTCTAGCCAGGCCACAGGGCAAGTCAGTGCAGTCTGGGTGTAGGGGAGGCAGCAGCAAACGCAAAACTCCTAGCCTGGGGCCAGATCTGTATGAGCAGGAATGAGGTCCAAATACATGCAGCCTAGTAAGGGTTGGACTTTTTTAAAGATTTATTTTATTGGAAAGGCAGATTTGTAGACTGAAAGATCTTCCATCTGCTGGTTCACTCCTCAAGTGCCTGCAATGGCAAGAGCTAAGTCACTCTGAAGCTGGGACCCAGGATCTTTTTCTGGGTCTCCCACATGTGTGCAGGTCCCAAGACTTTGGGCCGTCCTCGACTGCTTTCCTAGGTCATTAACAGTGAGTTGGATCAGAAATGGTGCAGCCGGGACACAAACTGGTGCCCATTTGCGATGCTCTGTTGCCAAGGCAGAGTAATTATAGCCAACTAAGCCATTGTGGCAGTCCCTACAAATATCTTTAAAAAGAAAATCCTGGGCCCGGCACAGTGGCCTAGCAGCTGAAGTCCTTGCTTGCACCAGGGTCCCATATGGGTGCCAGCTTGTATCCCAGTGGTCCAGCTTCCCATCCAACTTCCTGCTTGTGGCCTGGGAAAGCAGTGGAGGATGGCCCAAAGCCTTGGGAACCTGCACCCTCGTGGGAGACCGGAAGAAGATCCTGGCTCCTGGGCCCCGATTGGCACAGCTCCGGCTGCTGTGGTCGCTTAGGGAGTGTTCATTGGACCTAAGATCTTCCTGTCTTGGTGCCCAGCATGGTACCCTAGTGGCTAAAGTCCTCTCTTTTCGTGTGCCGGAATCCCTTACAGGCACTGGTTCTAACCCCTGCAGCCCCACATACTATCCAGCTCCCTCTTGCAGTCTGAGAAGGCTGTCCAGGGCTTTGGGATGCTGCACCTGCCTAGGAGACCTGGAGGAAGCTCCTGGCTCATGGCTTCAGATTGGCACAACTCCCATTGCAGCAACTTGGGAAGTGAATCATTGGATGGAAGATCTTCCTCTCCGTATATCTGACTTTCCAATAATAATACAAAATGATCTTCCTGTCTCTCCTCTACGCCTGACTTTCCAATTTAAAAGAGTGGCAGAAACTGTAGTATCTTTACATGCAAATAACTTAGTAGTGAGGGAGTTACTATATGAGAAAAAGGGTAGGGAGTTTGTGATGTCCTTGAGTCAACAAGAGAAAATAAACTCAGTGGGCAAGTGGAGGAGTCAGCCTGTCCATTGCATGTCCAGGTCACACATTCTAGCAGAACAGGAATGCAGATACTAGCAAGTGGAGAGATGCGTCTGAGACACGAAGTTCTCCAATGGCCAAAATTTTCCAGTGAATTAAGCAATGTTATCATCTCAAAGCAAAGATGACAGCGGTTTAAGCCTGAGGAGGGAGGAAAGGTGTGAGAACAGCCCACCATTATAGATAGGCTATCAGGTCACACCAACTATCCGTAACACACAATTGTTTGCTGCTTGTGACCTCTGAACAAAAGTGACGAGCACTTTCACCTTCGTGACTCAGTTCCATGGGTTGTTTTTTTTTTTTTTAACTATTCTGGATTACTTATAGAGTCTAGTTTTACTTCAGATTTATTTCAAACCTTATCACACATTCCCTCTTCCTCACCCAGCTCATGAATCATAACTTTTATCGGCATGAGTCTGACTTGTTTCCAAGGCAGCTCAATTCCTCAAGGATCTGTACAGTTCACTTGTTATTCACTGTGTTCCTTTCTGCTACTTTCCAGCATACCTGATTGACAAAGTCAAAATCAAAGGCTATTATGCATTCAAACTGACTGAAGAAAAATCCAAGCCCAGATTTGGGTTCTTCACATCTGATTTCAAAGCCAAGTCCTCCATAGAGGTCTACAACAAGCTCATCGCCAGCGGCGGCTTCCCTGTGGAGAACAGTCCTCCTGGGTGCGACCAGATGCCAAGGCACACCGAGTGCACGCTCTGCTTCTTCCTCCTGCAGAAGAAGCCGCTGATATTCTTCAGCTGTTGCTTCTTCTCCACCCTGGTTCTGCTGCTATCAATCACCATGTTTCACAGATGGAAGAGACGGAAATTTTGGAAAAGAAAGGACTTGCAACACATACCATTAAAAACAGGCCACAAGAGAGTTCTTAGCTAGAGTGATCATATTCCTCTCTGCAAAGAGTTTAGCAGCTCACTCCAGTCCCGAATGCCGGTAACACAGACATAACTGTGGAATACAAAGTCTGCGATAACTGTGCTGAACAAGGGAATGACAATCAAAATTCCTGCCATGTGGCTGAATGGATTTTCCCTTAGATGCCAACATCAGTGAATTCGGTTCTTGGTTCTAAATGAGGCTTCACCCTGTTACCAAGCTATGTATCTGGCACATTTCTTTATCTAATTTCGTGAGCAGTTTTCCATCTTTGTCCTCTATATATCAAGTTACACTGGTAAAGGTTCTCTTTTGAAAGTGACTTTTGTTAAGACTCCCCAGATCCCCACTGGACGACCCTATGACTTTTGTCACCTATAGCAGCAAGGTGCTTTCCCCTTTAGGTCCTGGTGACTCTCAAAAGCATCTTAGGGCTAGTAGTACTAATGCACAGCCAGCCACAGAATAGGCTCCTCACTACATAAATCCCTTAGGTTTTCTCAATAAAGATTATCGAGCATTTATAAAGCATCTCATTTTGTGATCTTTTCACTAGGTCTCTTGGTATGACTTCCATTGCCCACTTTGTGCAAAGATCACAGGACCCAGATTTGAGAACACAAACCTCACAGTACAGCAGCTTCTCCCTTTGACAGGCATTCCTTAACATTTCTGCCAAGATTTAGCATATAGTGACCCTATCTGGAGTTTCCCTTTCTATGGCTTACCTGAAACCGCTGATTATGCTTCAAGAATATTAAATTAAAAAGTTCAAAAGAACATTTTAAATTGTGCATTACAGATTATGTGTGGAAACCCTTCACTCCATGCTTTCTAGGATACCCATGCCTATTAGTCACTTGATGGTCCTCTGGGCTCTTCAACTGTTATCAATGTGCCTGTGTTCAAATAACCCTCATCCCAATGTACAAGAAAAGCAACAAGCTCAAACACAGATGAACGGATCCCGTTTTTACCCTCTTTTGGATTGATATTTAAATAACCACAAAGTGGCCAACCGCCTTTCCTCTTCAGCAGGCCTGGCAAGCAAGACTGCTGCCTGCGACGCCTGCATCCCAGATGGATGAGAGCTCATTTCCTGGCTACTCCTTTCCTGATCCAGCTGCCTAATGGTGGCCTAGGAAGAGCAGTGGAGGCACCCAAATGGGAGACCTGAATAGAGCGCCTGGCTTCAGGCTGGCTACTGCAGCCACTTTGAGAATCAAGGAGTGGAAGATTTCTGCTCTGTTTCAGATTAGGGGGAAAAAAAAAACCTGGAAAGGCAAATTTACAGAGGAGACAGATCTTTCATCTGCTAATTCACTCCCTAAATGGCCAAGCTGATCCAAATCCAGGAGCTTTTTCTGGGTCTCCCACATGCATGCAGGGTCCCCATGGCTGTTTGCTACTTCCCCAGGCCATACACAGGGAGCTGGATGGAAAGTGGAGCAGTTGGGACATGAACTGGTGCCCATATGGGATCCTGGCACTTGATGGAGCAATTGTGCCTGGCCCTCAAACAAGTCAGTCTTAGCTAGCTTAATCTAGCTCAGGAACGTTCAGTAGGAAACTACCTTAAATCAAGGCAGTTGTGGTTGCAGATCTATTTGGTAATACTGTTTTTTAAAAATATTTATTTATTGGAAAGTCAGATATACAGAGGAGAGGAGAGACAGAGAGGAAGACGTCCAATGATTCACTCCCCAAGTGAATGCAACGGTCGATGCTATGCCGATCCGAAGCCAGGATCCAGGAACTTCTTCTGGGTCTCCCATGTGGATGCAGGGTCCCAAGGCTTTGGGCCGTCCTCAACTGCTTTCCCAGGCCACAAGCAGGGAGCTGGATGGGAAGTGGAGCTGCCGGGATTAGAACCTGCGACCATATGGGATCCTGGACGTGTTCAAGGCAAGGACTTTGGCTGCTAGGCCACGGTGCAGGGCCCAGTTTAAGAGATTATTTTTATTAGAAAGATATACAGTGGACAGAGCTGATCTTCCACTGGTTGCTTCACCCCTCAAGTGGCCACAACTGCTGGATCTGAGCTGATCCTAAGCCAGGAACCAGGAGCTGTTTCTTTTGTCTCCCACACAGGTGCAGGGTCCCAAAGCTTTGGGCCACAAGCAGGGAGCTGGATGGAAAGTGAGGCCCCAGGGACATGAACCACTGCTCATATGGGATTCTGGAACATGCAAGGAAAGGACTTCAGCTGCTAGGGTTCTATGCAGGGCCCTGGTAATACCATTTTTAAAGAAAAACTGGTAGGACAGGAACTGGCCCCCATATGGGATGCCAGCACCATAGGGTAGATTAGTCCGGAATGCCACAGCACAAGCCCTGGTAGTACCATTTTAAAGAAATTACCTAAAAGGCACAGTTAGACTTCCATGGCCAGTTTACCCCCCAAATGACAGTCAATGGCTGGAGCAGAGGCAATCTGAAGCCAGGAGCTTCCAGGTCTCCAGGGGGTGCAGGGGCCCAATGATGTCACGCACTGTTTGATGCTTACTGCTTTCCCAAGCAGCAAGCAAGGAGCTGCATGAAGTGGAGCAGCTAGTACTACCATGGGGTACCATAGGGAGAAGCCTCATCTACTCCCTGCAGGTCTGTTACAAGCCAAATTTAATAGGCCAGTAATTCAGTCTGTCTGAATTAGCCAACTGCAGTATGTGATGGGTAAACATGCTACGTGGCTAGACTGGGTGTTTTTCATAGTTGCAAAAGGCTACAGTTCATTCTGTAGAACAGACTGTCCTTGAGAACATCCACTTGACCCTTTTTCTGTTGTGCAAATTTATTTTGACTTACAAACACTAGTGAAAATTTGTTGCTATCATTAGGACTTTAACCTCCTTCACTTGCATTTTAAAAAGCATGCGTGGGCCCAGCATTATAGCATAAAGTCCTCACCTTGGAACACGCTGGCTTCTTATCCCAGTGGCTCCATTTCCCATCTAGCTCCCTGCCTGTGGCCTGGGAAGGCAGTAGAGGACAGCCCAAAGCTTTGAGGTGAGAATATTGTGACTAATGTTTAATCCTAAATGTGATTTATTCCCAATAAACTGGCTTAGTACTGAACAAAGTCACCCAACAATGCAGGCAGTTAAGGACTATAAATGTTAACAGGCTTGGTCCTGGAACTAAGCTCAGACTTGGCACTGCTCCTTGCATGATGCTACAGGCCAACTGGATTAAGTCCATTTGTACTCCTAAGGTGGGACAACCATCCACATATACCAGAAACACACCAAAGAAATCTCCCAGGGGAAAGCAGCAAGGAGTGTCACCCCAAGTCTTTAAATGTCATCACTCCAGCTGTAACCAGCCTACAAGTTTCTTGGGAAGGACATACCCTGGGTCCACTTTCCTTCAGAACTTGGACAACATGAACACCCTGTTCTGTTGCTTGGCTACATACTTGGGCCCAGTAAGAGTCACTGGCAATGTGGGTACCATTCACCATGCAAGAATACTTGCTATTTTTACATACTTTCTAGAAAAAACATACATACCATCCAGTCAACATAGTCATAAACACTAGCTCATATGTGTCATGGACAGAACCAAGTACAGTTGAGCTAATATTTTTTTCATCAGGTGAACAGGTATCACTGTAGTTAGCCTTATGCATCTGGTTCTACATCCATGTGTTTAACTATGATCCAAGTTCCAAAAACTGAAATGTCACTAAGGACTGAGCTGAACCCATCCAAATGAATTGTACGCTTCACTTAAAAGGAAACATACACAGGTACCCTTGGATTTTGCTATCAATTCTGTCTAAATACTGAAGGGTAAGAGTAAACTTGAAGGTACGCCAGTCAGCCATAGCTTAGCTAAATGAGAACTGGGGAAGTTTGATTAGCGTAGGAATCGGCAAAATTCAGGCCAGCACAATTGCTCAAACGCTAAACCATTACCTTGCCAAGTTTGGCTGCCCCACTTCCCTTCCAGCTCCCTGGTTAAAACCTGGGCAGGCAGTAGAGGGCTTGGAACCCTGTTCCCACCTGGGGGAACTGGAAGAAGCTCCTCCTGGCTTTGGATCAGCTCAGTTCTGGCCATCACGGCCATTTGGGGAGTAAACCAGTGGATGGAATATCTTTCTCCTTCTCTCCATAAATCTGATTTGCCTTTCTAATAAAAATAAATATTTGACTGTTCTGTTCATAATAGCAAACACCAACCCTACTGTAACTGAAGATTTAATCCTTAGTATCATATCCAGTTGATGTACCCTGATTATCAAGTTCAGTAAATTGCCTGTTCCAACTCATTGCTGCTTCAGATTCCCACCTGTGGAATCCTGTGCTGGGACCACACCGCATGCTGCGATGCAGTTAGGCTTGGAAGGACTAGTGGCTCCACTCCCAACCAACAGCTACATGCTTACAGGTCCTCCTGTCTACAGCCAACACCCTTGCTGATCTGTTTTAGCACCCAATTTCAACTCTCTTTTCCAAGAAAAGTCTCTACTTTTTTGCCAAGTGGTTAAAAAAGGACAACCAGCCTAGAAATATTAAATCAACAGATCTTTTATTGCATTAATAAAATGACACATGAAACAATCCATGATCCTTACTTCAACAGCTGGGCAACTGTAAAGAAAAATGGTAATATCCGTAAATCTCTTGCCCACATACATAAAATCCCATTCCAAACAATCTAACCCTAATTTTAACTTTGTTTTAGTCAACTGTGAGCCCAGTAAAATATATTGGATTTTTATTCTGTCACATTTACTGTGTTCTGAAATGCAGCTCTTCTCTGGTACTCCAATTCACACCCAGAAGCCCACCTACCTTACTCATCAGCCTGCTGAACTGTTCCTTTTTCAGAGACATAGATACCATCCAAAAATTTCCTGATATCCTTATTTTTAACTGTGGTTGCCTGCTGAATCAAAGCAGCTGAAAGAGTGGAAAAAAAGAAAAAGCAAATTAAAATACCACACACACAAAAAAAATCCCAACACTTCACAGATCTACTTAGACAAAGCAAATGCACAAACCTGAATTTGAAACAAGCTCGATATCATTTCCTTCCAGGACTAATTCATCCTTCTGGGCTTGAGACACTGAGCAAGCAACACCTGAAAAGCAGAAGGGGCAGGCGCTAGTGTCAACATACCAGATCACTCCATTTGGGAAATCATCTTTCTGGAAATTTTTTGTTTACAGTTGAATCAATCTGTCACACAGCAGCCAGGTATCCAGTGATTTAATAAGACATTCAAATCCGGTGACTTCTGCCAAATTACATCTATTGCTTAAAGTTGTGCTCCCACAAAGGAGGTCTCTGGAAATGCTACAGCAGTACCATTGCCACTCCAATAGAAATTCAATTTGCTCCCCAACACCCATCACAACCTGGCCTGAGCTGAGTGCAAGCCTGAGGGCTACCATCCTGAGTTTGTGTCCTGTCTACTCCACTTGCAGTGCAGAGGCTGCAGACTGTCTCCAAGTTTACAGGGTGGCTCAAATACTCCCACCCTTGTGGTGGACCCAGCTCAAACTTGGTTCTTGACAGCTCTGGCTGGCACAGCCAACTTGGGAATACAACAGAATGTGGTCAATCTTCTCCTCTCTGCACCTCCACTAGCAACCAAAACTAGGTGGCAAGGACTTCACCATTCCAGCCTCTAGTGTATCTGCAGAAAGCTGCATCCCAGTAGCTAAACAGCACTCCAAAATGGAGTATGTGATGCCACAGTGTTTACGGGGTGAGGCCAACCACTGACGTAGGCACCCTAGAAGGCAGCAGATGCACGCTTCAGTACTCGGGTCCCTGTAGCCATCCTGAATCCCAACCAACAGCAGCTATTAAGGGCACCTTGGCAGCTGGTGCCTCTCCACTTTTCAAGTAATTTTAGAAAAAAGGCTTTTAAAAAGGATTCCATTTCCCAGCTATTACTCCGCAATTTACTACAGAGTACAATCCTTCAGGAATTGAAACAGGCAATTAAAACATACCTGGCCTCATCCGAACCCTTCGGATGTACTTTTCACCCAGGAAGTTTCGGATTTCCACCAGAGACCCGTTCTCCTGAATTACCACGTTGATGGGGAAGTGAGCATACACCGACCTCATCTTGTACCGGAAGCCCTAACAAACCAAACAAGCTTTTGTCAACACAGACACGTCAAGAAAGTCTGACACAGCAGCCTTACAAGCCCACCTGTTTGTCCTCGCTAGGTTCAGTGACTGAGGTCTTTACCAGACTTCAACATGCCGCATCAGGTCAACCAACTAGAAGGCCTGAGACTCAAGGCCCAGCAAGGCATGCAGGCAGCCCAGCTTTCCCAGGGAGCCTGGGTGTGAGGCTGGGCCTCAGGTGCAGCAGCTCTAGCTCATTTTCTATTAAGGTGATATAAAACCAGATGCTCTGGAGACTGCACCATTCTGATCTTTTACTCAGATTGAGCACACTGTCTTTCAAGAACCCAGAAATGCCCACCTGGACACACAGGCATCACCCATTCCTGGAGCAGACACCGCAATCCCTCCTCACGCCTCCCTTAGCCCCCATGGCCCACGAGGCCACTTACCAGTGTAACTCCCTTGATCATGTTCTGAACGTGACTACAGATGGTGCGAACAGTGGCCAGTTCCTTGCGATTGCCCCACCATTTGTCAACTCGGAGCTGCACAGGAGGTAAGAGTATTTGAGTCTCCCACCCCGCCAGACACAGTCCACTGATCCACACCCAATTACTCCACAAAATCCAACCACACTTGTCAACCTCCAACCTTTCAACCACAGTGGGACACGCTTCCACACAGGAATGACAACCCCAAAGTTAGAACCGACCCAACGCCACCATAATAATCCTGTTAAGCCTAATATCTAGTGCGAACACCCAGCACCGAAACTACGCAAATATATAACCCACCGCACTCACAATGTGGTTTCCCAACTTCTAAAGTCCAGATTTTAAAAGCAAAAACAATAAACCTCCATTAGGGTCATCTAAAAGTCCTCCCAAACTCGTAAAATCACGACCTTCCACGATAAGCGGCCCACTCACCCTCTTCTTCTTCTTTCCCAGGAGGCTGAGTTCCACATTGATGTGATTGAAGTCCCTTCGCAGGGTTCCTCTGGGCCCCTTCACAATCACCGTGCGCCCCTTCAGACTGATGTCGACATTTTCTGGAATGTCGACAGTCTGATTGCTGAGAATGGTCTTCATTCTGCAACACAACCACGGGCGGTGAGAAGGCAGGCGCGGGGCCCGAGGTCACAAATCCCGGGAGGCACACGCAAAGACCCAGCGAGGCCTCCCCGCCAGCCGCACAGCGCGAGCTAGGACGCCGGGCGGCAACTCCCCGTTCCACCCGGGCGGCGCCATGCTAGCAAGCAGAGGGAGCGGGAGAGGGGGAGGACTAAAAGCCGAGAATAGGACTCGTGGCCGGCGCCCCCAGGTCCATAGGCCGCTGGCCGCGCTGAGGGACGTGCGGCTCTCGAGGTCCGAGCGTTGGACCCGCGCCGCTGGCCTCCACAGAGCCGATGGCTTCAGATTCCCAGGCCCCATGGGCGACAGTAACATCCTCACCTCGCAGTAGATGCGGCAAAGAGGGAACGTCTTTCGTCATCACGCTTTAGTAGTCCGTAAGGGCGTTGCGTCTGACGTCATCACTGAGCGACTCCCGTAGGCGGAAACAGCCAATCCCGGAGCCTTTTACGTTGTCCCGGCTCAGGATTTCGTCATCAGCCGGGCGACGTGGTGTCAGCCCGTCTTTTGCCGTGTTATTGTGAGTTCCTCGGTCCTGTCAAGGCTGGGAAGGGAATGTCTCTACGCTGCGGGGACGCCGCCCGCACCCTGGGGTCTCGGGTGAGCGGTGCGGGGCGAGCAAAGGGCGGATGTCGCGTGTAGGGTTCCCTTCCCTTCAGAGCGCCCCGTAGTAAAAGCCTGTGCTCGTTGATTCACCACAGACATTACTGGAGACTTTTCCAAGTAATCCCTTACGGAATGCTCCCTACACTCCCGTGAAGTAGATTGTCTGAAAGCCTCTCTGGGCCGGCACCTAGGGCTTTTTTGTTTTTTTAAGATTCATTTTTTATTTTTTTATTGCAAAGTCAGATATACACGGGGGAGGAGAGACAGAGAGGAAGATCTTCCGTCCGATGAGATCTTCATCCCAAGAGGCCACAACGGCTGGTGCTGAGCTGATCCAAAGCCAGGAGCTCTTCCGGGTCTCCCACGCGAGTGCAGGGTCCCAAGGTTTTGGGCCGTCCTCGACTGCTTTCCCAGGCCACAAGCAGTGAGCTGGATGGGAAGTGGAGCAGCTGAGAACCGGCATCCCTATGAATCCCAGCGTGTGCAAGGCGGGGACTTTAGCACTATGCTACCACGCAGGGGCCCCCCCCAGAGCTTTTTAATTAATTGATTAATTTTCTGAGTTGAGTGGTTTGTGTCCTGTGTTTATTGTGTTCCCCCCACCCCCCCATGTATCAGACACACTGTGGCTGTCAGGAAGTCGTGCACGTCTGTCTCCTGGGACTGCAGGCACCCTGACAGTCCCTAACTGCGTGTTGAATTCATGGACTCGTGTTTTTGTTTGTTTGTTTGTTTTTTGCGCTGTGTTGTGTATCCTCTGCTGTGCACGACCGTTCAGATGTGGAAGCCATTTCAGACGGAGTGAATCACAGACCTTGAAAACATCAGTTTGGGGGTCCCATCTATCAGTTTTCTGGAACCTCTATATTTTAACCGTTTAGGTTTTATGCAGAACCTAAAGACAGGTTTATTCTTTTTCCCTAGCCCTGCTTTAGGCCGGGGATACAAAGTTACCCTATGTTCCTGCCTTTGAAATTAGCTTAGACAGAACAGTGATCGTTAAGGGAAGTATGTGAAATGTGAGGTGTTGGACTCCTCCAGATGTTCCATAATGCCACAAAGAATTGTTTCCGTTAGATATGTCATCTTTTGTCTTAGATTCTAGGCCATCGAAGCGCCTCAGGAGTTTGACACAGTTTTCTGGTTTTACCTTCCCCTTTTCTGAATTGTAAGTGCTTATTAAGTTCGATTGATCGAGAACCCGTCAAATGAGTGTCACAATGAACTTTTTCTTCAGGTTTTTGGAAGATGTTTGTACAGCCCTGTCAGAGCATTAAGTTCCCTGCCAAATAAAAAGAAGGCATTTCTGCAGAATGGACCAGACCTTCAAGATTTCCTATCTGGCGATCTTGCAGATAAGAGCACCTGGGATGAATATAAAGGGAACTTGAAACGCCAGAAAGGAGAGCGGTAACTGAATTCATTCTAGTCTCCCTTTGCTTCCTCACGCATTGGTGTTCGGCTATAAACAAGCTCTGGAGTATCTTTGTAATTTCAGATTAACCACATGTAGATGAAATCTTGACAAGAATACCTGAACATAGAACAAATGACTGAGTTTAGTGACTGAACTCTTGCTGAGCTCTTTCTCTGTGGGCTGTCGTGAATTTTCTTTAGCTTTCCTGAGTCTAGGCACCTTCCTGTGCCACCTCCCTGTTTCCCCCCCAGCATCAACTCTCTTGAGAGAAGGGAAGGTTCACACTTTGCTACTGATGCATTAGACCTCGATTAACTTTGACTTGTGATTGGCTGGTAATTGAACTTCTGCTCCTCCTGGTTCACCCAGGCCCTCAGGATGCCTTGCCTCACTTTAGAAGGTGGCGGGCAGTCCATGGAGAGGGCAGACACTTTGTCCAGCAGCATCTAGACCCCAAGTCAGGAGAAGTCAGCTCTGCTCCGACTGTTAGTTTTTTCCCATTTAGTAAGCAGCATGAAATGCAGGCTGTGGCAGAGCAGGCCCAGTGGGAGCCCTCGTGGCTCAGGATACAGGTAGGACCTCTTGGCAGCCTTGTTCATGGGGCAGGCAGGGGGACGTATTCAAAACCTTTCCCATTCTGTGGTGAGGATGATGTAGCCCTGTGTCTTTGTGAAAAGATAGACTGTTAAACTCTCTTGTTGGTGTTTGCTAGAATTGCCTGAGGGAGTCTAAATTTGACTTTTTCTTCTTAGTTCTATGATGGAAATTAGAAGAATGACTACAGAAATATGGGAAAAAGTTTAACTGGGCATTGTGATAGAGCAGAATGACCTGAGCGGTGAGTGCTTGGCTGCAGATCTGCTGACAGAATCGCGTTTGCCTTTCTTTAGGCTGAGGCTGCCTCCGTGGCTGAAGACTGAGATCCCCATGGGGAAAAACTACAACAAACTAAAAAATACACTGCGGAACTTAAACCTGCATACTGTGAGTTACCAAAGTAGCAGCTGTCCCTTTTTGTGAAGACTCTATTGTTTCTACCTATTTTTAATTTAAAAATAATAAGTATGTAAATTACAGCAAAGAAAATAAAGGTGTTAAGTGAACATTTTACCATCAGTAATGAAAATTCATTTAAAATATTTTTTTTCTATAAGAAATATGAAAGGAAGTTATCTTGTTGTATGTATTTAATGGTACAAAAAATACAAACTTTTCTTGGGAACATGGGGAACAGCTTTTTGTTTGTTTTATATTATTTGTATTTGTTGGGAAAAGTACAAAATTATAAAATTAAAATGAGAATGTCATATGCACAACCGCAAATATAAATGTCCCCACTTTAGATGATAGTATATATCTCTTTATATTTTTTATATAGTTTTCAATTTTCAAGTTGGCATTCTTAAATCATATATACATATATATATGTATGTATGTATTTTAATCTGAAAGGCAGAGTTACAGAGATGGGGGAGAGACAGAGCTCTTCCAGCCCTAGGCTTGCTCCTCTCTTGGCTTCAACAGCTGGAGCTAGGAGGGGCCATAGCCAGGAGCTGAGGTTTTTCTAGGTGTCCCACGTGGGTGCAAAGACCTAAGCATTTGGACCAGCCTCCACAGCATTTCTAGGCATGTTAGCCAGAAGCTGGGTTGGAAGTGGAGTAGCCAAGACTCAAATTTACTCCTATAGGAGTGCCAGCACTGCAGGTAGGAGCTTTAACCTCTGTGCCACAGCATTGGCAGCAGGTTGGACCCCTTCTTCAGACACCCACATCCTATATTGGAGTGTGCTATTGAAGCCGCAGTTTCTCCTTCCCACCCAGGTAGTGTGCTCCTGGGAGAGAGCAGGAGATGGCTCAGCTGCCTGGGCTCAGGTGACTGAGCCCCACACATGGGAGACCTCGATGGAGCCTTGGGCTCCTGGCTTCAGCCTCACCCAGTCCTGCCGTTGTGGGTATTTGGGGAGTATTTAGGTATTTAATGCTCTGTTTTCTCAAATAGATCATTTTTTCTGGGTGTGTAATCGCTGACTGTTCAGTGCTGGCAGCCTGCTTGTGTTCTGTTTGCTTCTACCCACAGGTGTGTGAGGAGGCCCGGTGTCCCAACATTGGAGAGTGCTGGGGAGGGGGCGAGTATGCCACTGCCACAGCCACAATCATGGTGAGGCCAGCCGCGACCTCAGAGTCTTGGTCTGGAAACTGGGAGGGAATATTCTTATCTTTCTCTTAAAAAATGCATCTTAGGGGTCTCTGATTAGAAGTTACATTTCACATAAGAGTTTATGAAAAAGAATGAAGAAGCTGGACCTGGGAAGGAGGTGGGGCTTGAACTGTTGCCCATATGGAATGCCAGCAGTGCAAGCTGCAGCTTAACCTGTTATACTACAGGGCTTGCTCGTTACGAATACCTTTCAACCTTGCTGTGTACTCGGGTAACTGTGCGTTAGAATCTCATTTTTATTATGTTTAAATTTTGTTTGTTTAAAAGAGAGATAAGACAGACAAAGCTTGCCCCCACTGATTCACTCCCCAAATGCTTCGACACCAGGAGCCAGGAGCTGGGAACTTCTGTGGGTCTCCTACATGAGTGACGCTGAGCAAGGACCATCACTCACTGCCTCGCAGCATGCACAATTAGCAGGAAGCCAGAACTGGAAGCGGATCCAGGCCCTGAACCCAGGCCCTCTGAGGAATGTGGCTTTGTCAAATGGTACCTTAGCCACTGTACTAAAACCACCGTCCAGGATCCAATTGTTACATTTTTATGTCCTTTCCCATTCCTCCCCCTTTCCTCTTCTAACATTACTATCATGTTTATAAAGAGAGAGATTTATTTCAAAGTCAGCTATAGAGAGATGGGAGGAAAGAGAGATACAGAGAGAGATCTTCCATCTACCGATTCACTAAAATGGCTATTATGGAGCCCCTACACAACGGCCTAGTAGCTAAATCCTCACCTTGCATGCGCCAGGATCCCATTTGGGCACTGATTCATATCCCAGCTGCTCCACTTCCCACGCAGCTCCCTGTTTGTGGCCTGGGAAAGCAGTCGAGGATGGCTCAAAGTCTTGTGATCCTGCACCTGTGTGGGAGACCCAGTAGAAGCTCCTGACTCCTGGCTTTGGATTGGCTCAGTTCTTGTCGTTGTGGCTATACTTGGGGAGCGAACCAGTAGATGGAAGATCTCTCTGTCTTTCCTTTTCTTTGTATATCTGCCTTTCCAATAAAAACAAATAAATAAAAGAATCTGAAAAAAAAAATCTGCAACTCAGAACGTGTTTCGGATGGCTGCCTGGAAAAAAAAAGTAAATGAAAAAGAAAGAACTATTTCTGAAGCCAGGAAACAAATCTTTCAGGTTTCCTGAATGGGCGTAAGGGCCCGAGTACTCGGCTCATCTGCTAGCTCAAGAACGTCAGTGGCAAGCTGGATGGGAGGCGGGTCTTGAGCTGGAACCCATATGAGAAGCCAACACTGTACGCATCAGCTTAATGTGCTGCACCACAGCTTCAACCCCAACACTATATTCTTGCTTCGTTCCTTTACAGTGTATTTATTTTGATTGAAAAGGCAGATTTACAGAGTGAAAGATCTTCCATCCACTGGTTCACTCCTCAAATGGCCAGAGCTGAGCCAGTCCAAACCCAGGAGCCAGGAGCTTCTTTTGGGTCTCCCACAGGTGTACAGGGTCCCAAGGTTTTGGGCCATCCTCTGCGGCCTTCCAAGGCTATCAGCAGGGAGCTGGATGGGAGCAGCTGGGACACGAACTGGAATCCATGTGGGAATCCCAGCAGTCACGAGAGGAGGATTAGCCAGTAAGCCACTGCACACTGCCCCCACACTATTCTCAATTCTGAGTTGACTGTTACTCTTTTTCTACTTTTATCGTATACATTCATTCTCAGTTGTGTGCATTCTTTGAAGCCTGCTATATTCTTTCAAAATATTATGTTGGTGAAGATGATCTACTTGGCTGAATTGTTAACGTTTCTGTTCCAGCTAATGGGCGACACATGTACCAGAGGTTGCAGGTTTTGTTCTGTCAAGACTGCCAGGAATCCTCCTCCGCTGGATGCCAGCGAGCCCTACAACACTGCCAAGGCCATCGCAGAGTGGGGCCTCGACTACGTCGTCCTGACCTCCGTGGACCGAGATGGTTAGTGCGACCTCCTGGCCTCCGCTGGAAACTGGCTTGGGCAAAATTGTCAAGTAGCCTTGAGTGCATGTCTGTTTCTTTCTAGATGTGCCTGATGGCGGGGCTGAGCACATTGCGAAGACTGTGTCCTGCATTAAGGAAAGGTACTGATTTTTGCCTTTGTGCATCAGATGGAGACATTTTGGGGTTCCTGTACATTCAGTTCTTTATCTGAGGTGTTGCCAGTGATTTCCAGTGGCCTGTGGGCAATCACACACTCGCCCTGCAGGAACAGTGCATATGCCAGCACAGATCAGTGTTTCTGCAGAAGACTCTAGGGATTCCGTGGCACGAGCCTATGTGCGGCCTGTTAGTTCTTTGAACCCTGCTGTGGTTTGCACTGAAGTATTAGTTTAAACTTTGAGTCATTTTCTTTGAGAAGTTTAAAATCTCAGTCTTATTAGTATTAAATTGTTTTTAAAGATTTATCTATTTTATTAGAAAGTCAGATTTACAGAAAGAAGGAAAGATAGAAAGATCTTCCATCTGTTGTTTCACTCCCCAAGTGGCTCAACAACCCAGAGCTGAGCCAACCCGAAGCCAGGAGCTTCTTCTGGGTCTCCCACGCTGGTGTCAGGGTCCCAGGGCCTTGTGCCGCCCTTGACTGCTTTCCCAGGCCACGACCAGGAGGCTGGATGGGAAGTGGGGCTGCCAGGATACAAACCAGCACACATATGGGTTCCCTGCACATGCAGGGCAAGGATTTAGCTACTAGGCTACTGTGCTGGGCCTGTTAGTTTTGATTTTTAAGAAATCATCATCCAAAAATGTCAGGATGAGATAAGCTGCAACATTGCTCAGATTTATAAGTTCTGATACAAATTTCCCAACCATATTTATATGCCCTTAGAATTTTCCCCATAATCCACATCTTTGTTAATATCTGCATCCCTTGCATTTAAAAAGAGCTATGCTAAACTTCCCACAACCCAGTGAAAGTCTGATGTCTAGCACATTTATTAAATGTCTTCCTAAGTGATTCCCAAATTTAGTTTGTTGTTTTAATAGGGTGTTTGAAGGTGGAATTTGCGAGCAGCCCCCTAAATGTGTTTCAGTGGGCACTAAGGCGTCACACTCTGCGGACACTGACTTACCTGATAACGTGCCGGTCCACATCTGCTGTGGAGGCGAGGGCCTGCCAGGCCGTCTCTCTGTTCTCTCCCAGGAGCTGTAGATGCTTTGCCCTGGGCCTGTGAACAGATGTTTCAGCTGTCCCAGTCCAGTGAGTTTCCGAGGGAAGGGCTGTGTGACCTAGTTCATGCGCTGCTGTCTCAGCTGGGGGAGACGCGGCAGTATGACTAGGCAGATTCATGCTTAGCTTGCACTTCATTGATGCGAAGCCCATGACTCAGCAATCCTGGATCCTGGTTCTTGTGACCTCTCTGCCCAAAGGAAGGGAAGAAGGGGTACTATATAATGAATTGTAAAAGTTATCTAAGCTGAGACAAATGATACCAAATAATACTTGCATTCACCTTTGAAATGTCCCAATTTAAACTTTTTTTGAACTGATGTTTTAGTAGTTCATCTTTCAATTCTTTGAAATAAGCTTACTTTTTAAAAACATACTCAAACTCTAGATAGTCTGAAAATTTGTCTTGATTATTTACATGGAGATACATGTGGGTTTGTTTTTTTTTTTTAAGGTTTATTTTGTTTATTTGAAAGATGGAGAAACAGATCTACGTACAGGTTTATTCCTCAAAAGGCCGCAGTGATGGAGCTGGGCTAGTCCAACGCCAGGAGCCTGGAGCTTCTCCTGGGTGTCATGCATGGGTACATGGGCCGAGCACTTGGGCCCTCTTCTGCTGCTTTCCCAGGTGCACAAGCAGGGAGATGGATGGGAAATGGACAAGCTGGGATTTGAACCGATGTCCGTATGGATGCCCACCTTACAGACAGCGGCTTCACCGGTTACTGCATAGCACCAGTATTGCGGATGTGTTTTAAATATCTTATTCATATCATTTGGTGTTCTGGGATTTTGTTTTGATTACTACCTTTTGATACAGTACTTCATGCATGAACATTTGTATGTTCATGTTTTCTTGGGGAAGTGCTAACATTACTGAGTTACAGCAGATTCTGAACGGTCTACAGTTTGATAGTTGTCTTCTTCCCTCCTAGGAATCCCAAGATTCTTGTGGAATGTCTCACCCCTGATTTCCGCGGAGATCTGAAAGCGATAGAGAAAGTTGCTCTGTCAGGATTGGACGTGTATGCACATAACATAGAAACAGTTCCGGAATTACAGAGGTGACTGGCACAGAGCAAGCTGGGAACTTAGGAGGCTTGAAAGATGCTATGAGCTCTCCATACATTCCTTGTATGTTTCTGTTTGCCCTAGTGGCCAGCATGGCAGAAGGAATTCTTTCCTTTTTAAATAAGCCCCAAATGAATATAGGAACGTCAGGAAGTTAGCCAATGCAACACCTCTCAGGGTTCCCCCACTCGTGTATCTCCTTCACATTGTGCTGTTTATCTTTCTGGATGTATGTAAATATAGACACTAAGGCGTGAGTGCTAAGTGATGCTGTTAACTTAGTATGTGTCTGTGTGGGGATTTAAACTATTTATCTACATTTTCATTTCAAAGGTACACACACATACACAGAGCTTTTCTATTACCCAGGTACCTGGAGCACTGGGATTCATCCAGGCCAAAGCTGGGAAGTAGATTCTTGGGAAGGGGTGCCTCCTGTGTGGGAAATAGGGACCCAAGTACCTGGCCATGGTCTGCTGCCTGCACACAAGCAGGAAGCTCATGTCAGAAGCAGAGCTGGAGACTGAACCCAGACGCTCTGCAGGGGAGCGGCGCAGTCCCCAGCAGTGTGTTCTGTGTCTCTCTCAAGATTGGTTTGTTTGGAAGGCAGAGTTACAGAGAGAGAGAAGCGGGGATACAGAGATCTCCCATCTGCTGGTTCACTCCCCAAATGGCTATACGAGCCAGGGCTGGGCCAGACTGAAGCCAGAGCCAAATCATTAGTGCCATCTTTGTTTTTTTTTTTTTTTTTTCCAGGCTGTTAACAGGGAGCTGGCCAGGAAGTGCAACAGCTGGGACAGGAGCGTCTGCCCATACGGATGGGCGGTGTCTCAGGCAGTGGCTTAAGGCACCACACCAGAATGCTGGCAGCACCAAGCAGTGTCCTCCCTGCTGAGCCCCGTGCCGACCCCACTCTGCACACGGTGAAGCACACGGGAGATTCTTCTGCAGGGAATAGTGGTGCAGAGGTGTTGCTCACTGCATTTTAAAATATTTTTCTTATTGACACTTTTTCTTTATGCTGCCTAATACCGTTAATAGTTATATGTACTTAAGGACTATTGTTCCTCATGATGAATATATTCAAGTTTCAGAAAAAAAATTTTACACTTAAGGCAAGATAACATTGTTCCTTTCCTTTAACTTTGATAAACTATTTAGTAGTGATTTTATTTGATTCTGCACATTATTCTGTCATAGAACCTCACGAAGTTAACAGTAAACAAGCAGTATTTCCATGAAGTCATAAACCTGCAGGAGCATAGCTTAAATGCAGTAGTGAGATGCTCTAAAAACAATAAGTATTTGGTTGCTTGTTTCTAAATTAATGTATGTGCTGCTTTTGTTTCTTGTGGTCTAATGTCAGATTTAAAGCAATCTGATCAGTTAGGGAAAATACAGCTGCCTTTGAATTCAAATAAGTGCTACATTGACATCAGCGGCTTCCTGGCCTTTGGCCTGTTGTTGTTTAGGCTGTGGTGGTTTGGCCATCACTGAAGGTCCAGCGTGGAGCCTGTGCCATGATGTCACCAGCAGTGGGTGCAAGTTTCCTGGTTTCACTTAAGAAACATTATCCTTTCCAGTGAAAATTCCAGAAGCATGCATTTCTTTACCCAAGCAAAGGCAGTGTCATGTACTTGCCAGCAGAGGGCAGCTAAGTCTTTAGGAAAGAATGGAACGTGAAAGTTTGAGCTCCCTGAACTGCGGGTGCAGATGGTTTTTCTCTTTGTTTAGTGTCGAATTGTCTGCCTTCCATTCTTTCCCCCTTCTTTGCCTTTCACTCACAATCATTCATTTCTAGTCACAGCATTCTGGTTTTTTGCATAAACCTGAAATGACTTTTTCCTTTCCTGTTTTCTTAGCTCTAAGCTTGTGAGAGCTTAAAAATGAAAGAAGCAGGGAGCGCCCTGGGGCCTCCTTTCCTCCCCTTCGTCTGCAGCCCTGTGTCTGCACCAGAGCCGCCACGGAGCCATGTGGTGTAACTTCATGGCCGCGATGGGCTTTTCTGGTCTTTCAGGTGGTTTGCATAACTGTGTTCTTGGTCCAACTTGTAATTACTCCTGCTGACTGTGGCCCTGCTGTTTTCCCAGGAAAGTTCGAGATCCGCGGGCGAATTTCGACCAGTCCCTACGTGTCCTGAAACATGCCAAGGAGGTTCAGCCTGATGTTATTTCTAAAACATCTATAATGTTGGGTTTAGGCGAGAGTGATGAGCAAGTGTATGCGACCATGAAAGGTAAAGAAATTGTGAAACAAAGTCTTTTCCATTTGCTTCAGCAGGTCCATGAAATCATGTGATCTGGCCCTTCCAGGCAACCACAGGCAGGACCTGAAATGTAGTAACTCTACAGCAGGCTAATCTGAACGTTGATAATTTTCTGTGGCCTGTGAATGAAGCCATAAATATGTAAATGGTCCATGGCCAAATAAAGGCTCGCAGCCCTGTTGTAGAGTTCCAACAGGAGGCTCCTGGCAAGACCCCGATGCACTTGCCCTCTGTGGGCTCAGGGCCCGAGCCCCCGAGCACAGTGTGCGGCTGTGCATGGCAGCGGAAACAAGGAAAGGACGTGTGTGTTCTTAGAACTGCACAGAGTGGCACACACGAAGGAAATCCGTGTCCATTTACTCCCCACCCAGTGAAACGTACTTTCCTGCATCTTCCTCTTTCTGTCCCTGGACAGCTTTTCAGACCCAGATGCTGTGATGCATAAAGAATTAGCACCAGTCTAGGCCTCTGAGGAGGGATAGCTTGTAACCTTGACACATGACCTGGTGCGTCTTTGGATTTGCCTGAATCCTGATCCCACAAGCCCCCTGCTATGTGATTCTTGCTCTTCTGTAATCCTTTAAATGTCAAAGTTTTTATTTTACATGGGAGTCTTTGGCCTACTTGGAGTTACATAAGGTCTTTGGGAGATTCATGGAAAATACGTATTATAAAGTGACTGTATATCTCTCCAAGGTTTTAACAAGTTGTTATTTGACTTATTTGAAGAGCTCAGTCCCTCATCTGTTGGTTTACTGTCAGAATAGCCACAGCACCTGAGGCTGATCCAGGAGCCGGGAACTCGTGGGTGTCCCATGTGGCTGGCATGGATCCAGTTCCTCGAGCCCTCACTGGCTGCCTCCTGGGGCGGCTGGGATCAGGACGAGCGCCTCGCTCAAACCCAGCACTCCATTATGGGATGCAAATTTCCCGTGATGCCTCCTGAAGCACTATGCCAAATGCTGTCTTGTGGATTTATCCTTTATTTTTCCACTAACTCTTTTAAGATGCCATTGTGATTTAGTGACTCAGAGAGTGGTCAGCTCAAATAGTAATTAAAAATTGTTCTTTATTCAATCAGTGCATATAGTTTATTATTAGATTCTGATAGGCCAGAGGACAAGTTCCATCTCCCTGTTGCCTGTCCTACCTAGGGAATACAAGCCAAAAACAGCATGTGTGGTCTGTATCATGGTTGTTTTCAGGCTTCGTAGTGTTCACATTCCCCTCACCTCTTGTGCCTAGCCAGCTCCTGTGTGAGTGGGTGTCCCATGGCAGGAGACGTTCTTGTCCTTGTCTCTGTCCGCCCACATGCCTGTATTAGTCTTCCTTTTTCAGGCCTTCCGCAGTCCCTGACACATGTATTTGTGAATGACTACATGTAACCCAGCTTGAGGATTACAGATTAGCATAAACTTCACACAGTGCCAAAACATTCCTCAGGGAACATTATATTTACATCCATAGTTTTTCTTCATTTGAGAGAGTTCCCATCTGCTGGTTCATTCCCTGAATGTCGTAAACAGCTAGGGCTGGCAGTGGGCCCATGTGGGTAGCAGGAACTGTTATTTGAACCCTCACTACTGCCCCCTAGGGTCTGCATTAGCATGGAGAGGGAGTCAGGAGTTGGAGGCGGGAATCAAACCCAAGCCCCCCAGTATGGTACAAGTGCATCTTTCATCATAACTGCTAGGCCAGACTTGCACGCTAAATCTACGCCTTAACTTTATAAAAATGTCTGCTCATGGAATCTGTGCTTTTTTCCCCCTAGCGCTCCGTGAAGCAGATGTGGATTGTTTAACTTTAGGGCAATATATGCAGCCAACAAAGCGTCACCTTAAGGTACTCTTATCTTGAATTGATAAATACTTCTGGGTAATTTGAATTAAATCATCATTGCCCACAGGTACATTCGGAAACTGTAGGCTTTTTAGTATAATGTTTCGTGTATATTTGTAAGTCCCAGTTTCTATTATCTATGGAAACCAGCTACTCTTGGGCTTCTTGGCTGTCCTCGCCTCCCCCCATTGTACAACTGAAGTTAACCTGTAGAAAAAGCAGGAGGAAGTTGGAAAATTGTGCTCATTCACACTTGGTGATCGGTGGACTTGTCTTAGAATTACAGGAGAGGCAGAGGGGAAGTTAGGAAACCAGTGTTTCTGTTTCTGTAACTGACATCCATTCCTCCAGGAAACTGGTGTTGAGAGGCGACTCTGCCAGTCACAGTGCTAAGGGGGGTGTTAGATGCGTGAGAGGGTCTGACTTCAGGAACCCACAGAGCCGGTTCTCAATCAGGCCTGGTAATCAATGAAGGGAAGGCGCAATCTCATTGGCTCCCTCCGTCCTCTGAACAGCTGACGTAGTACACCATTCCCTCTCGTCCACCTTCTGATGGACTGACCAACTGGTAACCAGTAGAGACCTGGTCAGTGAGGAGGGAGAAGAAAGCCTGGCAGAGGGTCCTGCCTAGGGGAGGAAGGGAAAGCCATTGTGAATACATAAATAGTGGCTTTCTATCAAATCAGAATTAATTAGGGTAATCCTAATATTTTACCTAATGGAATTATTTCTGTCTAGGTTGAAGAGTATGTTACTCCTGAAAAGTTCAAATACTGGGAAAAAGTAGGAAATGAACTTGGGTTTCATTACACAGCAAGTGGCCCTTTGGTGCGTTCTTCATACAAAGCAGGTGAGTTATAGCGCAGCAGGTGCTCTCATGGAGGCCATTAACTTCCCGCAGCAGGTTCTGCCCCAGACCACCTCCCTCCTGGGCAGACCCTCGTAGCCGTGGCTGTCGCAGGCTGGGTGTGTCTGGCCCATCTTAAGGAGCTTTGCTCCATGTGGCTCCTATTGTCACATTAAGGGAAGGCTTCGCCTCAACCTCATTGTTCAATAAACCAGCTCCCTCTCCTTCTATAACTCAACAGCTGTGTAAAAGCAGCTTTCAGCTTATGGTATTTTGGGTGGATTTAGTTGTAGTGTATTCTGAGATGACAAAGCACGTCAGGTGTATAATATGGCTTTCTGAAAGATGTCTGTTCGTTTGAAAATGATGGCACCTGCAGCCTCGGGCCTCCCAGTTCCAGATCCAGGGAAGCACTGAGAAGAATTCGGTAGTGTGCTCGTTGGCCCGCCAATCTCTGCATTTTTACCCTCAGAAGCAACAAAAAAGAATTCAGCATATCGTATTATTTCTCCTGGTAGAAGTTTTTAGTGGTTTCAGTTGATACATGCAATTTTTTTACTTTTGGAATTTTACTTTTTTTTGGTAAGATTTATTTATTTTATTGCAAAGTCAGATATACAGACAGGAGGAGAGACAGAGAGGAAGATCTTCTGTCCAATGATTCACTCCCCAAGTGAGCGCAATGGCTAGTACTTTGCTGATCTGAAGCCGGGAACCAGGAACCTCCTCCAGGTCTCCCACAGGGGTGCAGGGTCCCAAGGCTTTGCACTTAGGCCACAGGCAGGGAGCTGGATGGGAAGTGGAGCTGCCGGGATTAGAACCAGCACCCATATGGGATCCTGGCGTGTTCAAGGCGAGGACTTTAGCCGCTAGGCCACGCCTCTGGGGCTGAATTTTACTTATTTTAATTAGTATTTTTTTTTCAATATTTATTTTATTTAGTTGAAAGGCAATTATACAGAGAGGGAGAGAGAAAAAGAGGTGTGTGTGTTGGGAGTGGGGATGTTGTCTTCCTTCCGTTGGCTCATTTCCCAAACACCCTCAGTGGCTGGAGCTGGGCTGGTCCAAAGCCAGGATCCAGGAGCTTTCTCCTTGGTTTTCCACGTGGATGCAGGGGCCCAGGCTATCTTCTGCTGCTTTCCCAGTTACATTATTAGGGAACTGGATTGGAAGTGGAGCAGCCAGGACTTGAACCAGGGCCTGCATGTGGTTTCAGTGTTATAAGTGACAGCCCAACTGACTGTGCCACAACACAACCTCCAACCATTCATTTTAGAGAAAAGAGAAATGTCAGTAAAATTATGTCTTCCTAGAAGGGAAACACAAGTGTATTGCGGAGTCTCCTGATAATTTTCTTCTTTTCCTTGTTCCTAAATAGGTGAATTTTTCCTGAAAAATTTAGTGACTAAAAGGAAACAAAAGCCTTCTAAACCATAAAGAAGACTTTCAGGATCACACACACACACACACAAAAAAAAACCCAATCCAAACAAAAAAAAACATTTGCTTGCAGTTGGTACCAGTTGTGGATCCAGAATGCCTAGCCTTCAGTGGATGGACTTCAATTTTTTGTTTTACAAAAAAATCAGTAAGCCATATTTATTTCGTTATAGTAATTCATGTGACTTTTTAGCCTATCTTTGTCCTAATAAGCTCTTACTTGCTGTGATTTAATCATAAACCATTTTAAGAATTTTGCTATTTGGTTAATGTGGAAATACATTAAAGACTTCCTGAAGGATTTTCAAGCCACTGTGATTAATACCCCGTCATCATTGCTGTAAACACAACGCCTCTGTGCTAAGCTGGTGAAACAAGCAACACGGAGGAGCCTGGGACATTAGCGGAGTAACTGGAAAAAGGTTTAGAATTTTGGATGTTGGTTCTTGGAGTGGGTGAAACTGCTTCAGACCCTGCCAGGGAGCTGCCCACTGAGCACTCGGCAGCGCTCCTGGGACGCCGAGCTCCTGGGACGCGAGCCCTGCCCCAGGACGGCGGCTACAGGCCAGGCCTTGTTTGCAGCAGCTTCCTAAATCTGCTGCGCCGTCTTACATGTTTACTCTTTTTTTTCCTCTGCTGAAGTGTATTATATGATAGGAATAACCCAAAAAAGGCATTTCTTTCCAACAAATTCATATTCTTTTGACCCCAAGTCCTGTTTTTCTGCTTAGTCTATATCACACAAAGGAAAAATTATGCTGCTCTACTGTAAAATATGTACAGTCAATTTTCTTTTTGGAATGCTTAAATAAAAATACCAGTGTTCGTTATCCAAGTAATGCATAGCTGGAAATTAGTTACATTTTAATTTTTAAAGATTTATTATTATTATTATTATTATTATTTTTATTGGAAAGGCGGATATACAGAGAGGAGAGACAGAGAGGAAGATCTTCCATCCGATGATTCACTCCCCAAGTGAGCGCAACGGCCAATGCTATGCCGATCCGAAGCCAGGAGCCTCTTCCAGGTCTCCCACACGGGTGCAGGGTCCCAAAGTTTTGGGCCATCCTCGACTGCTTTCCCGGGCCACAGGCAGGGAGCTGGAAGGGAAGCGGGGCTGCCGGGATTAGAACCGGCGCCCATATGGGATCCGGGCTTACAAGGCGAGGACCTTAACCACTTGCGCCACCGCGCTGGGCCCAGTTACATTTTAATTTAACCTAGAGAAGGGTTATGTGTTTTCCTTACAGATCCTAATAAACTGTAGTGCACGCATTTAAACCCCATCAACTTTTTGAACATTATAGCCACCTAAAAACTTGTTCCACAGGAAAAGTGGCTTGCTTTTTCAGACTGTGGCTTTATGACGCAATCTACATTATTTCCTACTATTTAGTACTTTTCCAAAATGCATAACACCGATAATGAAACATGTGTGGCAGGAGATTCACTTTGTCAGATGAAACAATAAAACCCCAATGAGAAATAATTTAAATGATGCTTTATTAGCAAAAATGTATGTTATGACTTCAGATTTGTAGTTATTTTCTTTTTTTTTAAAGATTTATTTTTATTATTTTTTTTTTATTGGAAAGGCGGATATACAGAGAGGAGATACAGAGAGGAAGATCTTCCGTCCGATGATTCACTCCCCAAGTGAGCGCAACGGGCCGATACTATGCCGGTCCGAAGCCAGGAGCCTCTTCCGGGTCTCCCACACGGGTGCAGTGTCCCAAAGCTTTGGGCTGTCCTCGACTGTTTTCCCGGGCCACAGGCATGGAGCTGGAAGGGAAGCGGGGCTGCCGGGATTAGAACCAGCGCCCATATGGGATCCCGGGCGTGCAAGGCGAGGACTTAACCACTTGCGCCACCGCGCCGGGCCCTGTAGTTATTTTCTACAAAAAAAGTAGTGAATGCTAACATGGAGCTGTTCTGCCTCATGCCAACGTGCACTTGGGATGAACTACGGGTGACAGGTGCTGCCCTGGGTTAGCTGCTGTGGCCTGCTTATTCCTTTCTTTGCACCATATGGAGAAAAATCTTCACTGTGATAATCACACACACAATAGCTTAAGACGTATCACTTGCAATCCCAGCATTCTTCCCAGTTAAACCTTTTTTTTAAAAGTTTAAAAAACTTTTAACTGACCGGAACTTTACTCTGTTAGCTCTACCTTCAGACCAGAGAAGGTCTCCCCAAGAGGCCACTGAACTTATCTGGACAATAAGACGCTGGACTTTATGCTAGGTATATGCTTGCAATGAAGGAATCTCAACTGAACTTGAACTGTGGTTATGCAGCAAGGTGGAAGAATCCACTGGGGGGGAGGGGTATGGGAGGGGTGGGGGGAATCCCCAGTGCCTATAAAACTGTATCACATAATACAAGGTTAATAGCAATTAAAAAAAAATTGTTTAAAGTTGCTGGAACCGGCACCCATATGGGATCCTGGCGTGTGCAAGGCAAGGACTTTAGCCCCTAGGCTACCATGCCGGGCCCTCCAGTTAAATTTAATGCAGCAACTTGTAAGATAAATAACAGATGTTGGTTTTTGAAGTGGAATCGCAATGTCAAAGTGATTTGTCACTCAGTCTTTCATTGCTGCCTCACTGATAATTATCCCATGACTACAGTGTGTGTGACCAAGTGTGTCCGAGTGTCTGGTTCTTACTGGGCCCCCATTTGGTGAATGTTGCTGTGGAGTGCGCTCGCTTGCACAGCTTTACCAGAGCACACAGGCTTGGATTTAAGGAGGACAGAACACGGCTTTGGCCTCCCAAACGATGATGCATATGTAAGAAGTGTGTGTAAATGCACAGACGGGGCAGGAAGTACACCGACACCTGGCAGCACAAGCAGCTCATCCGTGACCTCTGCCGTGCTGAGATTTGGTATGTATTTTTAAACAAAAATTAAAATAATTTAAAAAAAGGGCCCGGCATGGTAGCCTAGTGACTCAAGTCCACACCTTGCATGTGCCTGGGATCCCATATGGGTGCCAGTTCATGTGCCAGCTGCCCCGCTTTCCATCCAGCTCCCTGCTTGTGGCCTGGGAAAGCAGTGGAGAATGGCCCAAAGCCTTGGGACCCTGCACCCAGGGAGACCTGGAAGAAACTCCTGGCTTCAGACTGGCTCAGCTCCGGCCATTGCAGTCACTTGGGGAGTGAATCATCGAACGGAAGATCTTCCTCTCTGTCTCTCCTTCTCTTTGTTTATCTGACTTTCCAATAAAAATAAATAAATCTTTAAAAAAATGCAGAGTAGTAATATTCATTGCCTTAGCTTTCCCTAAGCAGTTGACTATACGTTTTACCCTCATATGGGCTTGGTCATTAGTCTAAGAAAAACTAACATAAGTAAGTTTAGTATTAATCATTAAAAGCATCTTAAGCCCTAATTATTCTTGTACAATCTTAGCAACTCTTGTCCTGTCTGCAATGGAGTCACAGTACACATTTAAATAACTTAACTGAATTTTAAAACCTTAAATCCCTCTACAACGAAACTTGACATCTTTATCAACAGATACTGAATAAATAATAGCAATAAAAATACCAGCGGATGCAAGGATCTCTCTCATTCTGCCCTTCAAATAAATGAAAATAAGTGACTAAGCCTGAAAAAAAACATCCCCTCCCTCTTTACATCATTTGAAGGAGCGCTGTAACACCCCTTTCTCTACTAAGTGCTGTCATTCCTCCCCCACCTAATGCCAGACCGCCGTGACTCAGGAGTTACTGGTACCAAAAACCACATCTACACGGTTGTTGGTGCAGAATGTTTTATTTATACAGATGCCTCTGTCCTCACTTGAATCCCAGCTTTCTCTTCCTGCAGGACAGCAGAATTTGTAAAGCTGTTGAGCAGTGTGTCCGCTCCCTGCAGAGCAGTGCCACACGGGCTTCTGACACACTGCAGCAATGACCACACGCAAGCAGTCCTGCAAAGATGAACTTAGAAGTCAACCAGACATCAGTCAGGTGGAAACACAAAACTTCCGATTTTAGTATGATGTTACATGTAATTTATAAAATCTACTTTAAGCTGAGACTATATGGATTTTTTTAATTTAAAGAATGGGGAGATTACAACTACAAATAGAAATAAAATATGCAAAATCTAGGTAACAAATGTTTTTGGTTCTTGGACTACAAATATAACAGGAAAATAAGAAAGAGGAGAGAGACTGTACTATTAATTTTATGTTCAAATTAGAGAACAGCTTCATATTGAATAGTAAATGACATGAACTGTGATGATCTTGGAGCTTAAGTCAGGAACGTTATCTCATGGGAACAAAATGAACTTTAATCAGACCATACTACATTACAAAGTCACAGTAATTTCATGGCTTCAAAATACCCAGAGTGCCTTTTCCTTTATAATATGTTACTAAAGTGCTGCCTGTAGATTTGCAAAATAAAAAGTATCATTTGCATTTTACAAAATTGATGTCATTAAAACCAGCATGATTATTTTCCACTAATCCAGTATCTGAGCTAACATTACAAAAATATGTAAAAAATATTCTAGATTCATTATTACCAGATATTCTAATATCCATACAGCTTATATAAATTTAATGATTTAAAAAAATAGTTTTCCTTAAAAACACTTGGTTCATTTACCATTGAATATCAGATAGATATTTGCTATCCTGAAGTACCAAAAAAAAAAAAAAAAAATCAAAACCCCCAGACGGCCATGTCTACACTTTAGGTTTCTTATTAGGCGGATCCTGAAGACTGAACTTTGGAATTTCACCAGAAGGAGCATATGGAATTCTCTTTGAAGACACCTTCTTGCCAATTGTTTCAATCTGAAGGGAGGGAAAAACAAGACACTCAGAAGGGCTTGGAAAGAGAACTATTATTACTTACAGTACACAAATGTAAGAATTGTATAATGCAGTGTAATGGAGGGTTTCTCAGTTGACTGGGATGCTATGCGAGATCTTGAGTTTCACCGTACACACAAATCGAGTCACACTCCTGCCGTTCCCCACACCCAGTCCCCTCGCACACTGCACAGCTGCACCCACTGCGGCACTTGGCAGCACACATGACCACGTTCCAGTTAGTTTGCAGGCTCCCTCGTGTTGTATTTTCATATTCATTTCAAACTTGCAGAAACTGTAGTAGCACAGTGTGCACCGGTCTGGGCTTCAGTGTGAATGTTCCTGATCCGAATTCTGATCCACATCCATCTCCCCCTGAAAGCTCAGGGCCACTTGGACGAGGTGTTGTGACCACCCACCTCGAGGGGCTGTGGTAAGGACTAAGCTAGATGAAGTGCTCAGCATAAGACACATCAGCTGGAATAAGTGAGAATTCCGGCTGTCCAGACACCTCTTTTATTCCAAATCATCAATCCTCTCATCAAAGACGTGACTTCTTGCACAGTTGTAAGATTCACTCTCCTCTTCGCAGAGAGAAATGCACCACTGAATTTTCCTATGACTTTTGGATTAATAAATTAATATTTGATTCTGACTCATATCTCAAAACACTAAGTGACTTAAAATTATATTAGATGAGTGGAACAAGAACAGGACAAGATGTGTTTCACAAACAGCCTTTTAAAACAACATTTCTGAGCTGCAGTGGTGACCAGGGTCCTGGATGGGAGTGTCCACAGACAGGGATGCGTCGGACCCCTGCTGCAGGAACTCTCTCACAGTGCAGCAGTGGGCACTGAGGTGTGAACCCCAAGGGTCTTCAGCAGCTCTCAGGGGTCTGCAGAGCAGGGAAGGCCTAACTGGGATTTTTTAGGCCAGCTGGTGCCAGGCAGGTGCTTGGGCGGCTAGCCAC